CACAGATCGAGCGTCAAACTTGAACCGCTTTTCCTTCGGAACGAGCACATACGCATGGCAACCGAACACCTTCAGGTTCGCCAACAGTGGCTTCTTGCCAGTCCACACTTGGTGCGGCGACTTGTCGAGATTGATGGCGCGTGTCGGACACCGGTTTCGGAGGAACGTAGCAGTCATCACCGCTTCACCCCAATATTCTTTGGACATCCCGGCATGCTCCATCATGCAGCGCGCACACTCCACCAACGTCCGGTTCATCCTTTCCGCGACGCCATTCAGCTGAGGCGTGTATGGCGGTGTGAACTTCTGCTTGATGCCGCGATCCTTGCAGAACTTGGCCATCGCGCCCGAGGTGTACTCGCCTCCGTTGTCACTCCGAAGCACTTTCACACGTTTGCCGGTTTGAGTCTCAGCGAATGCCACAAATTCAGCGAACTTGGCGGCAACATCCGACTTGTTTCGGAGACAATACACGACGCAAAAATGTCGTCGATGAACGTGACGAGATAGCACTTGCCAATGAAAGTCGACGTCTGCATCGGGCCGCATACATCGCTGTAAATCACTTCCAACAGCTCCTTCGCAGGGTTCGACGATGACTTCATGTAGCTTACTTGCGTTTGTTTGCCGAGCGAACATCCGTCGCACACCTCCCACTGCTTCACTGACGTCATGTCGAGACCAATACCGTAGCCTTTCTTGACCATGGCGTCTAGACCGCCATGGCCAATGTGATCAAGTCGAAGGTGCCAGAGGTACGACGTGGTGTCACCTTTGCGATCCTCCGAACTTGCCGCATTGGCCTCGTTAGGTATTACCGGTGTCATGCACAGATTGAACAATCCTTTGCCAGCTCTCGCGCCGAGCTTCCACTTGAGATTCTTCGACTCCGCGAAGCACCCATCGCTTTCAGAAATCACTGGTCCAACATCCTTGGTGAAACGTCCAACGGAGAATAAGTTGCGTGACAGTTTTGGAATGTGCCACACACCGGTGAGCACACCCTTCTTGATCCCGCGCGGAGTCTTCATTGTCATCACAATGTCGCCACTGCCGATCGCCTGTACCACACCGTCGTCCGCGAGATGTACGTTAACTGGGTCGAAGGTTTTGTAGTTCTTCATGAACTTCTTGGAACACGTCATGTGCTGCGTCGCACCCGAGTCGATCAGCCATGCATTACTCGACTTGGCGCTGCTCCCACCACCAACCGAGAAGATATAGCCACCGGCATTCTCGTCCTCGCGCGCCACATTCGCACGCTGTGACCGCTGTCGGTTGTTGTTATTATCTTGGATCCGCGAAGGACACTCTGCGATCCAATATCCTTGCTTGCCGCAGTAGTTGCATGCTCCGACCTTCTTCTTCTCCGGACGCCCTCTGCGCTTGTTGTTGTCACTAGTCATGAACGCTTGACCTTGCGCAGTTCCTTCGGCACCGCCACCTTGTTCCTTGCGCTTCATGTCTTCATGTAGAAGCCGAGACGTCACGAGTTCCCATGTCAGCGTGTCAGCTCTCGACTCCAACGCCGTGATGAGGAACTGGTACGATTCACTCAGACTTCCAAGAAGCGTGATCACCAAGTCGTCCTCACTGACCGGAGCGCCGACCGCGTCGAGCTGCTCCGCCAGAGTCTTGAGCTTGTTAATGTGCTCCAGCACATCATCACCTTCGTCCATCATCATAGTGAAGAAACGTCGACGAAGGAAGAGCTTGTTGGCCAGGCTCCTCTTCTAGAAGTGTCCTTCCAGTCTTGACCATGCATCATGCGCGCCACTAGCTGACCGGACCAATGGTAGCTGCGAGTCTTCCATTGCAAGACAGATGATTGCGAGCGCTTTGCGACGACTTCCTCTTGAACCCCGTTTGTTCCAAAACGGTTGCGCAGTGCTCCAGCTTCACCTCTCCACTCACGCAAATCGCGCTCCTCGAGCACCATCTGCATCTTGAACTTCCACGTGTGGAAGTTGGTTCCGTCGAACTTGTTGATTCTGGTCGAGCGGAGGTGTCCATGGCGTAGGCGAAGTCGGAGTTGAAGGCGGGGGCAGAGTCTGCGGGGCTCGGGCTCATAACCTAAAGAAAAGGTCACTTTCGTAGTTTGGTGAAAAATGCAAAGTGATTGATTTAGGTCCTTAGTTCACAAGCTGCTTGCTACCTCTAAGCCTCTTGTCCTACCTACTGGATACACTCTACTGGATTCTTTACTGGATACTGAGTTACTTTAGCCAATCAGCGAGTGCCACGTAGATCCCATCATGTACCCACAATCTTGTACCCACGTGTAGCGTAAACATTGTCCCATAATCACAGGAATGATTGCGGTACTGCTGAGTGAAGGTCATACCGGTATCTGCCGGTATTCCGCAGCTGATCGAGGCGTCTTCTTGACAACATTGCATACCCAAGCGCAGCAACCCACACCATGCGCTCGACATCTGGTTTACCCCCGTATGTGGAGCTAGTGAAGAGGTCATAGGCGACGTTCGCAATGATGTTATTCTTATACGTGTACGTATACGTCAACGTGGTTTGAAGTGATTGAATATGCGAGAGTTGGACGGATTTTGAATTGAAGTGCGGCGTTCGCAAATGACTTGACTTTCGAATTTAAATCGTTCTAGGCGGCGTTGGTGCTGAAAGAAATTTCACTCATAGTGCCACTGATGACGGTGGTGCACTGATGACCATTAATGTCGCCGGCTTGACCCCATAGGTTGTTGTAGACAGTGCAGCTGCCTTGTCTACTCTGTTCGTACTGGCCGCAGAAAGGTGCGCCATTTACAAATAATGTCGCAGTGGCAAGAATAGTGGGAGCAATTAGGAGTTTCATAGTCGTAAGTTATTTGGTCAGTCTAGACGTGGGGTCGAAAAACCAAAATTGCAGACGTTGATCGTTGCGTATACGCAAGTCACCACGACCACGTAAATGTCGTAGCCATGTATCTGGTTGGCTTGCACGAATGCACAATTGCAAAAACCATCCACACAGAAAATCAAGCATCAGTATCTCACGCAAAGCTCAATTGCAATGAAGCCTTTTTGTGCACTACAGCACATTGAACGTTGACTGAGTTTATCATTATGGAATATGTATGAATTTGACACGTTCGCTACTGGTCGGATTGCGTAACCACCTACGAGAGAGCAAACTTGAGTGCAATCTTTATGATCGTCCTAATTGGACAAGATACAGTGGGTTCGGTACTGTCGATCACAGCAGGGTACGTATTACCTCTGAAACTGCTGTCTTACCAGTAAGTTGGTTGAACGGTATTGGCCACCTGTATATGTCGTCATTACTATAGATTTTAGGGCAGCACTGTTACATCTATGGCAGTAATTGACATCCTCTATTCAATCATGTTTTGAATTTTGAGGGCTTGATGGTGAGGCAATTGGCTGAAAGGCCGAAGTGTGTACGTACATAACCTTTGGACTTGCTGCGTGTTGGCTAATACTATTCGATATCTTGGTGATTGCCAAGATATCGAATAGCATTAGTGACTGCCAAGATATTGAATAGCATTAGCCAACACTGAATTCGAAACATAATATGCCTAGTCATTTAGACGATCACAAAGATTGCATTGAGGTTTACTTTCTTGGGTGGGGGATGATGCCACGCAATCCGACCAGTGGCGAACGTGTCAGATCCTTACATACAATATTCATTGTAGTATCCATAGATCGTTGACTGATCCTATCACTATGTGCTATCGGGCACAAAAGGACTTCATTGCAATTGAGCTTTGCGTGAGATACTGATGTAGATACCTATAAATTTTTGACACTTTGGCCACTGGTCGGCTTGCGACCCACACTAGGGCGTAAACCTGAGTGCAATCTTTGTGATCGTCCCAATTGGCAAAGAAACGTTGGGTTCCATATTCTTGATTAAGATTTCTTGGAATTGCAATCCTCACCAATAGATTGTATGATGTCTACCGCCTGTTTATGTCGTCTGAAGCCACAGATTCTAGCGCAGCTGACGATAAATTCATAGTTCAACAATTGTAATTGTTGAATCCTCTAGTTGATCTTGTCATGAGTTTGAATCGTTTTTGGTGTAAACAATTGACTGAGTGACAATAGTGTGTGTATACATTGCCTTTCGACTTGCTGTCCTCATGGTGCAATCACTAGGAGATCGAGCCGAATTAGCCACCTGCAATTTCTGAAGAAGTATTATTAGCCACTACTGTAATCAATATTACGAACCAGAATGTATCTTAGTCCTTTCGACGATCGTAAAGTTTTGCACTCAGGTTTACTTCCTTGGGTGGGGGGCTGGGGCTCACGGAATCCGGCTAGTAGCGACGTGTCAAATCACTGTGCATTTAATGAGAAGAAAAGCAGATCTGTCTATTGGACCGTTCTAGTGTAGCAAGATGTCAGATATTTGTAAGCCTGAAATCACCATGCACATTTCATATCATAGAACGTTGACTGAGCCTATCACAATGCACTATTCGGGCGAAGAAAGGCGGCATCAGTGCAATTGACCTCTGCGACTGGATTTGCAATGTGGAAGTTTTCGCAATTGCGCATTCGCGCTGAAGCTAGATGATACCTGGCTACGAAAATAAGTGGTCCTGGTGACTTGCACATACGCACTGACAAATTAATGTCTGTGTTTATTTATTCTTCGACAAGCTGTAGGATTCGCCGTAATTGTGGGAGTTAGTTGTGGGAGTTAGTTGTGGGAGTTGGTTTCAGTTTGTTTCATTATTCAATTTGCTTTCATCCCCTCGAGACTAATCAAGTAATTTACGAGTATGAAACTATCAATTTCGGCCGCTGCACTGGTTGCATGTCTCGCTACTCCTCTCACTAGTGCTCTTGGACTGGTCGTCTCTAATGCCGAAAAACTTACCAGTGACTATATCACTCCCTGGTACAGCCCACCAAAAAATCCCAATACTCTGTGTGATAGAACCTCTAGGACCACTGCAGGCAAGTACTATGTCTATAACAGAATTGAGAATTCGAAATCGGACAAGATGGGGACCCAGTGCACGAACATCACCGCAATTAACGGAGATACGATTGATTTTCAGAGCTCGTTCACAGTCGAGCCTTACGATTCGGTGGTCAAGTCGATGTCGATTGTCCAATACTCGTTTAAGTCTATTGCGCTTTCTAACATCAATTCAATTCCCTCCAAAATGAAGTTTACTATCAGACATGATGATAAAACTGTCCTGTTTGTCGCTTACACACTTAACCTATGGTCACAGGCCGGAAAGTCCTTTGGAGTCTCGCTGTATCTTGAAACTGTAGGAAATGTTGTGATACCGTCCAACTATTCGAAGCTCCGCGAAGTTACCGTTTTGGGCATTGAATGCAATGTGTTCTCTGGACAAAACAAATTCAATGTCGATGAGTTCATAATTGTGGCTAAAAAGGTGGATCGGGATCTCGAAATTGATTTGAAACCGTTCCTCAATATGCTTCAGCAGTGGACCGAGATTCGGTCAGACTTTCTACTGTCTGATGTGTCTCTCACAACTCAAATCATTGGTGGTTCTGGCAGAGTGACCGTGAATCATTTGTCGATTTCTGTCAATGCTAGAAACATGTAGGCGTACAGAATTGGAGCTCAATGGGGATTGTTGAAACGTTTAAACCATTGCAATGATCAAGTCAGCATGTGCGCTTTATCACCATGTTCTTTATAAAAAATGGATAGAATAGCACTCTCTCTGTCTTATTAATGAGCAAATAGAGTTTGTCATTTCTCTTCTACTTCATTCTTCATGATGTATTCGTGAATGCAATGTGTGTACTTGTATTCTCTAATTCTTCTATACTCCACATTGTGTGTCACTTTAGAATTTGCATGTGACGATCACTGGCCACCAAGACCAGTCCTGACTCGCCTCCCCATCCTTTAGATTAGTCGTTAACGCTGGCGTGAAGGTAAAAGGGACTGAGACCTACACTCCACTTTGCAAGGTCCACAGGATGTGGCGCAACGTACCACCGTAAGGTAGCGGGTAATCCGCAGGTTCTACTGCGGGAAATGCGAGTCAACACAGATTGATCGTCTATTTCCTCGAAAATAGTTCCTACCCTTCGGAATACGCCTGGAGTCGCTATCCCGTTCGCTTAACGAAAACTTCTGTTCCACGATGCCCCTAGAACGTGATGCCCTCATAGAGATCCTGTACGGTCTGTTAATGCAGGGTCCGCACCAAGCAGGTATTCTTTGTCCAGTTGTGTCGTCTAATATTTGCACCAGATCCACTTCACGCGTTTGACTTGGAGAGCCGAGCAAGTCAAGCGCGCGGAAGGGTCCTGGACTTCCGTCAGGATGGCTCGTTGGGACTGTCCGCAGTGGATTGACGTCATTCCCTGACCAGTCGTCCCCTGTGCCTGCCCGTGAAATGCTCCGATTGTGTGAATAGTAGCCTGAATCCCATACAGACTGAATGCCATACAGCCTGAATTCCATGCCATCGTGAAGTATACTCCGGTCTTGATCAATAGGTCACGTGCCCTACGACCCACTTCTTCATGCAAAGTCCGACGTATTGAGCGCGTAGCATGAGTCGGTGAGGACGGACACGGTTCAATCATGGTAGAAGAAGAAGGTCACACTTTCTCCGAGGTTATGCGCGTAGATAATTCTGATCACATCGACTATCTGGACCATCATCTTCATCATCTTCTTTGTGCCTCCTATACAAGCTCATTCGGTTTGCTTTGTGAGCATCACTAAGCTTAAGACACAAAGAACTAGTCATTTGAATTCCATGGCCACTCGGCATACTCCTGACCTTGCTAGATACACACACTACTTAAAGAAGCTCTTGCTTGTATATGTCACGAGAAAAACCAGACTTTACTATATGGTTCGACGAACTTGAGCTGCCGACATATCGGCTAGGTCTGGAAGTGTTGTAAAGCGCGACCTGCCTAATGTCCGCGTGTACGAAATGTAGGGACGATTCAATTACCGGTTCTGGTACGTCTCTTTGTGATTACGGCACTCATTGAACTTGCATGTATCGTGCTGTGGTTGTCTGTAAGTAACGAGCCGTGTTATGTCAAGCACAAGACAGAGACGTGTGACGAAATCCAGCCGCTTTACGCCGAGACGTTGCAGTGCGGTGACAAGTCCTTTACGCAGTGGTATCATCGGTTGGCTAGCATTGATACAGCAAGACGTTTTAAGGAACCTCGCATTGGTTACTGGATGTCAAACTTTCTCTTCTACTTGTCCGATTTAATCAGCGTCTTGCTGGGTTTCTTGTAGTATTTGGGTATGTGGAAGCCTGTACGTCGTGGTGCTCGCTATGTACGTGCTGTCACTACGCTGAGCCAGCTGAAGACACTATTGCGACGCTGGAGAAGATTACGAATTTGGTCATCTATTTCATTGGTGGATCTGTGACAATGGATATTGCAAATTCGAATGGGAGACTGACAGTCTAGTACATAAGGTTTGCGTGGATACTTACGTGATTGAGATACTGGTGATGTCCGTCATGAGGCGGTTCAGTTCATGTACGATCGCATGTGCGCGTCGTACGAGTTGGAGATGGACGAATGGCGCAAGGAATTACATCACTGTGAAGATGTCGACGATCACAAATCCGCGCATCTGTGAACCGCATTGACTGCGCTATTAGCTCCGTGCGTGACGACTATCAGTCAAGATGACGTTTGTGGGACACATCAAGCCGCCTTTGCACCACTCAAAGGCTGGCAGCATAACAACGTGCTGTACAATGAAGGTGCTTGTGGTCACTATGCCATCATAACGATATGAAGCTCCGAGATGCGAGATGATTATATAAGCTACACTCCCGTTCTTCTTCGACGCGCTGCAGACTCGTTTACGTGCAGTTGTGCTCCTGGCTGTGTGGATATCGGTAAGATGTGTTGTGCTCTATGACAGGGCAGCCGGAGTGCCGAAGCCCAGATCATGTACTGCTCAAGGGACTGCTACATCGCATCAGAGCACATCAGTCGAGTATTCACCGCCGGCAGACCCAGAACATCATGTGGAGCGCATGCATTGGGCCAGCTGGGATAGCAAGATTAACTGAACAAAGGGGTTGTGCCGCAAGTGCAGCCGTGCTGTGAGCTGACGTGATAGCAGCCAGTTTGTAAGTATTTCGGCCGATGATTACTTGGACCATGTTTCGGTGAACCAGGTCGGCTTTGTGCAGACGCTTCAGGACTTTGAGGACTGTCTGTAGCTACGCTTTGATGTCCGTGTGGTCACCGTAACTCGACGTTCTCTGATTCGGCGCAGACTGGTACGGATGGATACAACTGCGCTTGACTTAGGATATTCCAGGCATCTTGTCAGCCAGAATGTTGCAATAGACTGTCTGTTCATCTCACTGTCTCTCTACACCGTTTAATCACTGTCCTGTTGAAGCGAATGAACCACAACAACATGTAATGCTATTTCTTAAGTTGACAAAAAAGCGCGAATTTCATGCATAACGACAAATCCGACGAGGTTTGGGCGTTCTGTGCGCTCAATTCAACTTCAAAGCCTTACCGTGGCTGATAGGCAAACCGCTTCAGTTGTTCTTTTGCAAAGACATCGTGCTCAACTATCAGAAACATTAAGTCTTCAGTACACTTTTGCCACACTGTCAAGAAAACAATCATGTGCCAATCAATCGATGGACAATGTTGTAAAGATCAGTTATATGATGCTAAATGGGACGAAGTCTGACTACAAAGCTGACGTAGTTGTTGAAAAGTACAATGAATGTCGCCAGCTGAGTCTTCTTGTCATGAAATACGAGTAATTTGCTCTTACAACCAGACTGAGGAGGTCGCACGGAAGCATATGTCCACGTCTGATAACAGCAAGCGATAACACCAACAGTCCAACGCATATGATGCATGTACGTACGTTATCTGAGTATTCAAAGCAATGAAGAGCGACGTAGCCATCTTTCATCACTAGACTCGTGATGAAGCGGTATTCACGATCAAATACACGCTGTTGTTGACACAAGCCATTTTTCCACGCCAATAGCACCACTGGAGTCCACACACAAACGTCACAACAGCCGCTAACAATGCATCGTGCATACGTGTTCACTATTTTGGCAACATTGTTTACCACGCCGGTTGTTGCCATCCTTGACAATGCCACTCACGTCGACGTTTCGACAGAATCTACACACATACAAGCACGAATTCGCGATGGCGTCGTGAAAAGTCGAGGCGTGAACCTCGGTGGATGGCTAGTAGCTGAACACTGGATGACAGCCGATGCAATATTTTGGCAAGGCGTCGAGAATCAATTTGCCAACTCCGGTGAGTACACGGCAATCACGAAAGCGGCAAGTCTCGACAGTATTCGATCTAAGCTGAACGACCATCACGCCACCTTTATCTCCGAGGACGATATCCAGCAGATCGCAGCAGCAGGACTCAACACAGTTCGAGTACCCGTGGGTTTCTGGATCTTGGGATACGACAACCACGATCCAGCAAACCTACGCGAGTGGGAAGTCTACACTAAAGGAACGATCGTGTACTTGGACCAGCTCATTCAACGCTGGGCCAAGAAACACAACGTAGCGGTGCTGGTAAGCTTGCATGCTGCCAAAGGCTCGCAAAATGGCGCTGATCATTCATCACCTACAAGTCCGGGACACACGTTCTGGAGCCAATACTCTGAAAACGTCGCCAACACCATCGAGGTGGCAAGGTTTCTTGCCAAACGATACCTTAACGAAGAGGCGTTCCTCGGGATCGGTCTCTTAAACGAGCCCAACGGCAGCACGGACGAAAAGGTGCTATACCAGTTCTACAAGGATGCGTATCGTGCCGTGCGCGCGATCGGAAGTGATTGCGTGCTGAGTATTATGCCCATGCTACAGAAACAGAACCCTGACGAGATGGTCGACTTCATGACAATGCCAGAGTTTTTGAACATCTGGGTCGAATGGCACCCCTACTTTGTGTGGGGGGTTCGAGCATACATCGGATGAGCACTTGGTGAACGTGGCTGTAAAACATGACTACAATAAACGCGTAGGCAAGTGGAACGCAACAAAGAAGAACAACCGGTTGTTCATTGGCGAGTGGAGCTTGGCCACGCCTTCCAACATGCGCTGCAACAACCCCGACTTCTTCTACAAGTTCGCGTCTGAGCAGTTGAAGGTACACGACCAAGCGGAAGCAGGTTGGACATTCTGGTCGTGGAAGGTAACAGGGGACGGTAATAGCGACGTTGGGGCCTGGTCCTTGCAAGAACTCCTCAAGGACGACCAAATTGCCAAAATGTTCCGCAACAGTTCGTAATCCGACCCAATCATGGCAGGGGGAGGCTTGACTAGAAACAAGAAGTATTTCCGTGTTGAATTGCGTTTAGTACTGAACTGCTCTGCTTTCTTCCGTTCTGCAGCGGTGTTCTAAGTGTTAACGTTAGCATTGGCTATAACCGATACTGCTACTACATGTCGGCCAACTTTTAGTGTTAAGATCCTTAGAGACTACAGCTTCAAAATGATCCGAGTGTTCATAATAAACAATATGATACGCTTTGAATGTTTCAGGAGCTGCTATGGGATACACGTGTCGAAACATGTTGTCAAGATGATCAATGACATTGATGGTATCGAATGGAGATGCGGAAGAGATGGTACCGATAAGGGAGGACAAACACACGTACACCTCCTGCGACACATGAACACGAACCTGATGCACAAACGGTCGTACGGACGCCACTGCTTTTGCTTTTAGTCGTCGGAAGCCGCTACTTCGACATGGTGTCCGTATATGTAACTGACGCGGGGGAACTGCTTGCTCGTGACGCATCGGAAGCCTCTGCTACGATACAGTTTAAGTTTAATTGTGCGCACCGGAAGCCCTTGCTTTACGTATCGTTCTCGTTTTGCACTTACACGGTAAGCCTCTGCTTCGTGCTGGGAGTCGCTGCTCGACCATTGAACATCCTAAGCCACTGCTGTGGGATGGAATCCTGGCTCTAGAATGTCTGTTTGACTGAAGGCGAGCAGTTTCACCACACTTGAAAGGCCGAAGTACACTTCGGGGGAATGATAAGTCGTGGAATAGGGGTCCGCGACGGCAAAATGCTGCCAGGTACTCGTCGGTTTGTTTAAAAATGGCTAGTATCGCATTGAAATCGATGTCACGTGGTCGAATCGTGCGGTTCAGCCATTCAATGTTGGTCCGATGCCGTGCAATCCACGTCACTCCAAAATGCAGTCAAATGAACCCCTCAAGTACATAACTTGGAATTTCTCACTGCTCTCGAAAGCATCGAACTGGAAAGGTTGCACTACTGATCACTTTTAGTGCGTGCGAAGCTTGCTGTCCGCATACTTGACGATCATCCCCTCTCAAGACTCGCAGACACGCAGCCGCGGTGGAGCAACTCGTAAAATGTCGGCGCGGGCCAAACTGTTCGTCTCGCCTGAGTCCAGCAAAGTGCGAAGCGGAAGTGAAGCACCATCAACGCAAACTCTCGAATCATTGATAGAAGATATCGAAGTAAGCTGTGCTGAGTGCACAGCGGGGCTTAGAGAACGTGTCGCCACTGCAGGTACGTTTTTCCGTTTCCTTCTACGGTTTATAGGTGATGTCGGCTTTAAACATAGCCGAACCAACTTGTTGGAACCAAAGCATAAGATTGTCACCTACTTTGCCGTCGAACTTATCAACTTCCATTTGTATGGGTTTTGGTCTGCAGACCACTTATTGCGCCATAGTCGCCATGGGAGAAGGCGCAGAAGAAGGCATCTGTGCCTTTACATGCTAGAAGGACTCCCCGCGCCTACTAGATGCCTTCGTTTTTCTGATGAGTAGCGGCGTTGATGGAGACTTCAGACGAAGCGACAGCGACAGAGAGGATGGGTGAGGACGCGCGGCATACAGCTGAGCCGTGACTAGGCTTAAGACATTTAAAACGAATGCTGAACCAGATGCTGTGGCGCTACAGACCTCCACAATCCGGACCCGGAGCACGCAGAGAGTAGGTGGCGCGCTCGATCGTGTCACCTCCACTAGCTCAGGCTTTTGATCAGCAGAAGGAGGAGAAAAACAATGCATACGCATAGCAAGGAATGAAGTCAATGCGCACCGCGATCAAAACGCCTCTTCAAGCGCTTAGGAACCTTCCGCGTCAGATAGAAACGCCGAAGCCCAGCGTTCTATCTCGTGACGAACACGTAGACTTGCGTCACCGTATTGATCGGATGCGACGATGCAGAACGCCAGGTTTCTTGCTCGTAGTATATAGTACAACATCGACTGGCGATACTTCTTCAGCGCCATAAAAGCCGAGCGATGGTGGTGCTTATCCTGCAGAGGCTCAAACAACAGGTAAATTAGGTCCTTGAGGCCTTACTATCCTGGGAACATCTCGGATCGGCGACAATTTTGCGCAGCGCCCACTCCTTCGCCTTGTCAGTCAACATGGACAAGAAGAAGTGGGTGCATGAGAGCTTTGACGTAATCTAGCGGGATCAAACAACTATTTTACTTCACACAGCCATCGATTAAGCGCAAGGCGCTTCTTCCTCTCGCTGATATAACACGATACGTCGAGTTTGACGACTTTTAAATCCTATGGCAACCGCGAAAGTATAATCTCGTCGACGCAAATCGGCGAGTGCGTAGTTGGTGAAGTCTAAAATGGCTACACGCTGTAGCCGCCCAGACGTATCCTGTAGCATGACAGCCACGGCAGTTATACCGGCCACGTTTGTTAGGTGACGCAGAGCTTCCTACTCGACGGAGGTCAGATGCTGGAATTCATCATGGTTCAACATCCCTTCCGCACTCTGGATAGACAGAGCGCTCTATTAGTAGGGCTACAAAATGCTACTGGTGAAACCGGTAAGAGATTTACTTAAACTAAAGGTCTTACGAGAAAGCGCAAAAGGGACAAGTTCATCAAACGCGGATTTAATATCAATATCAATTCGGTTCAACTTTATAATCTTTATCCTAAGCACGAATGGTCTCCGAACTTTGTGGGAGCCACTCAATAAAAGGTCGCATCCAATTGGATGATTGTGGGCCTGAATTATACTTATCAATCAATAGGAATATGACACGCTTACCATAATTTATCGAGTAGCAAAATTGTATACCTCCTACTTATGTAATATATGTACTAAACTAAGTCTATATATGAAACGGCTTGCTAGTTCGCGCCTAGAAGGATGTTTACGGTTGACCCCATTACACAGGTAGACTTCAGTCCGTCATGACCAAGCTACCCCTGGACAATTAACATCAGGAACCGAGGTACAAGGCAAGGACAGAGTAAGGAGCTGATGGATAGGACTTTATTAAATACTTCTTATTTTGCGATCTTCGTGCACGACACCGTCGCGCTCATAAGGAACTTGTTAAATTTACCCTACTGTGCCAGGAAGGGATACACTTTGTCCCGGTAAGACTCAAGTGAAAAGAGAACCCCAGGATATGTTGGCCTGTGGGTTCGTATCCAGTAGCCCCCCCCGCAATCAAAAGCGGCCTTCGTACTCCAATGGTTCGGGAAAAAGTAGAGGTCAACAGATTAACACCCCTGCGACATTTAGAGGAAAAACCAGGCCGACAAGCTCATCTAAAGCATTTTGGTTATGTGTCCACCCTCGACCGATTCGATCGAGTAGTCACCTACTAGCCCACCGAATAAAGAATATCACCCCAGGTCGAACTTTTACAAGGTCAACATCTACATCTTCGCCAAGTCTTCTAAAGATTGCACCCGCCAGCCGACGGTTTCACAAGGTAAGAGAAGAATCATATGTGGCATCGCGATACAGGTCCATCTTTCCCAATGTCAGCGCCAAAAACGCTTTTTCTTCCTAGCAGAGGTGTGTTCATGACTCTCCAGAGCCTCACCAGAAGCAATGCGCGTTGCGCCTAAGGTATTTGACCTCCAATCGATCCATGGCTCATTCTTTTTAGCCATTCCATGCTTAGGATGAGATCATACATCACATCCATGTATGCTGTTGAAATCTAAAAACATACATTTAAGTACATAGATACTTTAGGAACCATAACAACATATCCCTATCGCTAAGCAAACCGTGACTGTGTCACTCTCACGCGCTCTAAGCGCTTCAGCATACTTCTGACCCCCTTCCACGGTGGCATGGTGAGCACAATTACCCGGTGCCTGCGAATCGATTTAAATGATCCATGGCTTATCAAAGTCCTTAACCGTTCCTTCGACGATCAAAAAGCCTGGCTCTCGTTCCGTTTTTGAGAGTTCAGGTCTCTATGGGGCTGGCTCTGCATACTTCTACTTTCTAGAGGCTCAACAAAACTCAGTTCTTCCCCAGTAGGGCGCCCCGCGCCTACTGGGCTCCGCCGTTCCCTCACGTTCAATTAGAGGGTTTAACCATGAAACGTCGGCCTTTCGAGGCCAAACATGTATTCCGCACAGGGCATTGTGCCATCAAATGACCTGTGCTCTTGCAGATTTAGCATGTGCGCGCAATTTTCTTCTGCTCAGCCTTTTTCTCTTCCACTCGACTACAGTACATGGAGACAGAACCATCAGACGAGTAGTTATAAGTGGCAGACCTAGCGGCCATAAAATTAGTCGCGACATTCCATGCCACTCCAACAGCTTCCTCGAATGAGGACGGGTATATCCGGAAGACTTCCGTTCTAGCAACGCCAACTCGGAGGCCCTCCATAAAGACCGTGACGGTCACTGCCTCAGACATAGGGTCTATGATCATGGCAGCAATGAGAGTTTCAGCTTTTGCACATATACCGCAAGCCACGCTTGCCTTCGACAAGCCAACAACCGTGAGCAAAAAACGCGACTGATTTCGGTGTGCTTTGTTTGGTGGTGCATACTGCCGGGTCATCTGAACTTTAGATCGGACCATGCTGGGAATGCATCTTGCAGTGATGCACCCGCCCGTTGCTTGGCTAAGCCACCCGTGGTAAAGCCAACACAGTAAGGTTTGAAGCAAATTTCATGCTTTGGACCATGTTCATTATTGTCCGATGCATCCGTTCAGCCTTGCCGTTACTCACTTGAATTCTGGCTTCACTGACTTGACGCGAGACTCTGGTCGCCTTACAAAACACATCCAACGCCTTGTATTCACCACCTCCATCCGTACGTAGTACGTGGTTCTTGCAATTGAACTCTCGTTCAAAGCTCACAAGGAAATGCTTGAGCTTGGGGCAACCGCATCCTTCTATCTTGCCAAAAACACACGGCATAGTTGGACCGGTGGTCAATAGAATTGACGAGGTAACGGTTACCCTGGCAATCCCTTGGGGTCATCGGACCTTTGAGATCGGAGGAAATTACTCCACCGATCACATCGATAGGAGCATTTTAGCCTGTGTCTCTCCTTGACTGTGATGCCTTAGTTTGCTTGCCTTGGGCACAGGCCAAGCATTGCATACGCCTCATGTCAGCCAGCCTGATAGCAGATGCCAGGTCGGTAGCCATCTTGATGATCGTGTCGAAACGCAGATGGCCCAAGCGGCGATAAAACTGCATCAAGGTACCACTCTGAACATCCGAATTGGATTCGTATTCAGGTGAATTGATTACAGCCGTCATATTCCCTGGTGGCAAAACTGAGACCTTGTTGCTGGATCCTCTCACTGCAACAACCAGCACATTGTTGTTGCTGTCAACGTCCATAACAGGTGTACCTCCAAATCCAGAGGTTAACACGCGTCTCCCTCATCAGTACTCAAGCACACATCCCTTAGCATCAAGCTTACTATACGAGATGATGTTTCGCTCGAGGTTCGCAGCGTACTGAACGTCGAGGAGTCGGATGGTGTTCAAGACCCCGAGTGCAACAACTTCAATGTAGACACTTCCCTGCTTAGTAATCCGAAGCACACCTCCATCCGTTGCGGCTGTCAAGCATTCGTTTCGACATTCGGTTGGGTTAACCAGCAGAGACAAGTAATTGACAAGGTGTCTGCTCGACCAACTGTCGAGGATCCAATGATTGTCTTGCAGACAGCATTGCCGATCGTAAACGTAAAACTTGCTCTCAGATTCTTTGACATCTGTCTCTTAAGGCACATCGACTTGATATGTCCTACCCTCCGCACTTGTAACACGTGCTTTGATCGTTGTCGGTTGAATTCTTTGACACCTTGAGCTTGATCTTGTCCTTTTGGTTCCTTTATGGGTTCGACAGCATTGACCACGTCGCGTCCGAGGTACTTCGCGTGGTTTTCAATTTCCGTTGACTGCGCGAACTGTGCCAACTCTTCGGCTTGACGTAGGCAGTCGGTTCGGTGGATGTCCAGCCTGGACATCATGGTCATCCGCATATGCGGGTCCGCCCGCATAATGGACGATGTTATCCAGTACGAGGGTATCTGCCCCTCCGCAAGTATCACTGACGGCAGTCAGTGATACTTGCGGTGGTCCACCCAACTTATGTAAGATGCCTTGGGTGCCGTGAGCAATTTCATGCTTTGAGCAGGCGTGATTTTGGTGCTGAAAGTTTGAAGCAACCTTTGAAAAGTATGCTCCAAGGTTTGACCTTCAGATCACCAAGTCTCCACCTGAAGACGATAGTAAGTCTGTGCCTTCCCGGCCAGGTGTTGTCCTAAGACATCCACCTTAATGTCTTCAGGCCATGTACATTCACACGCACGCTCATAAAAACCAACTTGGCGCACAAATTCCTTGTTTCATCCGAGGTAACCACTACCAAGGCCATGGTATAGTTCCTTCCCATCAAAAGGCTGTAGCGCAAGCTTCCGATGTTGTGCGTCTGCATACCCACAACCTGTTGTCCTGGGTTGACATGCTTCATGTTCGGCATACCCGCACCGGGGTAATAGCCTGGAACCCCTGCCATAACATGTGCAGGTTCCGGTGCCTGTCCCATGTTGCGATCTGCTGCAACATGGCATGCCCGATGATTTGCATCATCAGGCTCGTAGTGTCGCCTGACTCCAAAGTATGTAGCCGGCGACACGTCGTTCGGTGACCTGTTCCGAGGGGGTGGGTGGGTAGCTTCCAATGCCTAGATGTTCATCCCTCCACCTGCTCCCAGAGCCGAACCAAAGACGCTTGTCTCTGTAGAGTCCTTCTGGTGTCCACCGTCATGCTCTCGCTGGGAGTCCTCCATCCAATCCAGCCGATCAGATAGGTCGCCGAGCATGGCAAGCACCTTGCCCAGCGTCGCTTCGGGTACTGCCGACTTTTCTTCAAGGTGGTCGTCTTTGACCCGATCAGGGTTGCCGACTGCAACGTTAGGCGTAGCCTGTTTGGGCTTGCCAACAACACGTTCTTTTGAGCTCATAACCTGTAAGAGTGGAGTAAAGTAGTGATGCACTTGTGCACGAGTAGGTAGAAGTAAAAGTAAGATATATTTAGCATTAACTACTCTCCTTCGCTGTGCTCTAACATGTATGATAGAATCAACTGCAACTATACCATGTGTAGTCTGTAGTCTTCGTCTATCCCGCCTCGTCCCATTTGTTGTAACACTTGGCAAAGTGAAGTGATGGTAATCTCGTCGATCGTTTCATGGGTCACAACATCCAGATGGTCCGATGTGTAGCGACGCCGTCGCCTCGTCACAGCTGTCAAGATGTCACACCATTAGCCAATCAGATGCGGTCGCAACTCACCAGGCACAGGGTAAAGCCCTCCTTCCAACCTGTCAAAAACGATAGTTTCTAACACTAGCTGGTCAATTTTCTTCTGACAACTTAATCTCTTTTTCATCCGAACTTCAGCTAGATGTCGTTTATCATTCGTTAATATTGGTTCATCAATACAAGATAAAGGCAAAGATGATAGCACAAATGTGGCCACTGCATACTTGACCTGAAATTTAGTAACATACTGCTTGGCAAAGGATAAACACGACATATTCAGACATTCAATCTACACTATGAACTCAAGACGTTCATTGACAAGAAGTATAGCTTCATCCATAGCAAAAGAAAAACAGCGTTGTAACATGTTAAGAGACTGGTAAAGCCTGAATCATCCCATTTGTAATGTCAATAAACAGTTGAAGTAGCTTTGGCATGAGCAAAACACGTCGACACTGAAGAGCTGTGCATGAGATATTCAGAAGGCTGTAATATGTGTTTTAGCATCACAATATGTTCAGCTCATTCAAACAATGTCGGCAAACTATTTGCTCATCTTTCTATCAGACCACAACAATTATCTATTTCAACGAACATTTACTGAAAGTCTGCGGCAGTTGACAACGAGTAACAGAATCATTTGCGATAAAATACTGGAATTCGATTGTCATGATCACGCCGATTTCTTTGCCTAAGTTGACCAAATTCAGGAATCGTGAAATTCAAACACACATTTAAAAGGCATAAGAGTTCTTTCGACAATCGACGCTTGCTGAATCCGCAACTGAATCGTAAATTCACGGCACGACTTTATTAGGATGATTGAACCAATGTATTAATATCTGGATTGGTTTAAACTGCTGTTGTCGAAATGGCTTGGTTAGCTTGTGAGTCGACTAGTTGAATAATTAAAGTGGCATCAACGTCAATACAGGCTGCGTGGAAGCATGCATTGCATCCTTATCCTACGTGTGCTCGATCACAATGTACACAGCATACCCATAAGCTCTGAGATGAGGGCTATTTGCGTGGATCACGCTGAAGGTATACATAGTTATAGCTGTAGATGTCAGGGGCGATAGTGAGGGATATCAAGCTGCTAAGCGATATGTGCGACTTGTTATTCTCGATCTTATTCCTACTTGAGCTTCAGTACCACCGATCTCGCGTGTGTATCAATGGCAATCACGAGACCATCACGTCTGCGGGCCACCTGAACATCTACCCGTACAAAGAAGACATACAACTTGAGGCTGAGAAATACTTGGGCTACATTAAACGCGTGTACTCACCGATCACGGAGGAAGCGAAGGCTGCGCTGCACACTCAAGAATGAAACGAAAGAGCTCAGTCAGGTTGAATTTCAGGCTTTGTGCGAGACACTTGGCAGTGAAAAGCGGGATCAACTGACCGAGTGCGTTGCTGAGGCAGCATTAAAGGTATTGCTAAGGTTTTCCAATCAAACAATCGTTTGCTGTGATGTGTTTAAGAGAACAAACTTGTCTTTGAAAAAATAATTTGGTGCCATTCTCGATCCCGTTTTGCTGTTTGATAACTGATCCAACAGATTTTGGGTGTGGACCATATTCAATCACTACCATAACTGTAAAATGTGCTCGTTGGACTAACCAAACCATGAGATCTTGTCTGCTTGAGCAGCACAAGTGCTGCAGATTTGATTGTTTACTCAAACACGATAGCAATTGTAATCTGTCTTGGCTTGAATGATGAATATGTCAATCTGTATCACGTGCAGATTAAAATATGATCTAGAAAAACAGTCACCAATCAAAGTGATGAAACTGCAGTTGGTCGCTTTGATCCCGTCCCACATTTGGTCTCGATTGTTTTCTTTCATTTAACGTGTTGATTTTCTTGTAAGAAATTGTCATTTCGAGGAATGCTGGTGAGCTTGATTCTAATGCTTTGCGCTTTTATCGCCGGAGGTGCATCAGTGTGGTACTATGATATTTATCGAAAGAAGAAGCAGCAGATGCAACACCAGTCGGAAGGTCAAGTTCCAGTAACACCACAAGGTCCAGTTGAGTATTAAAACGCCTAACACAGACCTAGTCATTTGATTCATTCCTTTGCTGTGTTAATGGGATGATAAGCTTCAAACTAAGCGCAGCAAGTAGCGAGCAAAAAATTTTGATGTAATGAAACAACCATCAATTTAGTTTGACTCCATATTTTCTCTTCTCTCCTGTACGCTACCGTCTCACACTTGTGCCATGAGTCCACTTTGCTATTGTTGTGTTCACGGACTTAACCTGCCAGTATTGAAACCACAACACCGAGAGCTATCCGACAGCACAAAACATGGAAGAAGACATAGTTCCGTGCCGATCATCGTCAAACATGAAACCTTACGCAGACAGACTTACTCCATCATCACTAAACCATGTACGGCGACACATGTACAACAGGACCCAAAACCTCCTTCCAAACAGGGTTTGCGTCCAGGCGGCCCAGAAAAATGCTGGGGCCGATTTGCTTGCTAATCTGTACGACACAGTCACGGGCAGCAAACTTAGCGAGATGATTCGTTCCTTGAAGCGTAAAGACCAACGGGTCTAGAAATAGCTCAAGGTAGCGTTTGAACACCTTCTTGCCCAGCGCCTCGCACATGGACGGAAGCTGTTTCCAAATGGTTCCTTGCAAGACGGCGGTCTGAGGAAAGTGGCGAAGGATCGCTATGTCCGCAACCTGTGGAAGAAATTTCACAGCGACGTCAGGAGCTACGTTACAGAGCTCGCGCACCATGTAGATTGCACCGTCGGCATGCTCCCACGGCTCTTTCTCGCGGTGCTCGTGACGTTCAAAAAGTTTGGGCTCCAGCGAACAGCACGAGAAAGCCTGCTTGCTAAGGTGCTTCTTCTCAGAACGCATAAGTTCATCGTACTCGTGTTGTGTCATCGCTGGCTGCTTCTTTGCAAGCAACAAGTACTCTACCGTGACTGTAGTCACGCGATCTAGTGCTTCTTGGCCATATGCGCGAATCACATTACCCAGAGCAATGGCTGCGTCTTCACGCACGGACCAAATGTCGTCCGAGAGGTGGTCAATCCATAGATGATACAAATCATCCAAAAACGGACGGCACTCGTCAGGAAAACCAAGCACCAGCTGCGCTGACGCCAAACACGCCGCATCGCGGATCAGATTTGATACATCGTAGAAACAAATGAGAAGAGCCTGCATGAGACGGCCAAGGTGCGGACGAATTGCCTCCGGGTCAACTTTCGTGCCTAGCTCAGCAATACATTGACATGCCGACTCACGGACACAGTGATTCGTCATTTCCACGTAGTAGTCGACTATCTCATTGGCGTATGTGGCCACCAATTCGCGGCCCCGGTTGCCCACAATCATTTTCCAAGATTCTTGAGAGTATTTTTGCACGCGCTCTGCAATATAGTACCGATTTAAACACATTCTAGGCAGCAAAATAGGCAAACATGCTTTACGCCCCTGCTCCTGCAACTTCAGTAAAAAAGAGCGTGTCGCAATCGAGGCAGCATAGCGCACTTGGCACCAATTGTCCTCCATGCCGCGCTTAATGCACTTGATCAAGATATCACCCACAGTCGAGTGGTGTATGTCAAAAGAACCCCATAGGCGCAATGTCTGCTAGTACCGTAATCGTGTCGAGCCCTACAACTCTCACATGGCGATTTATATGAAAGCAGCTTTTGGTTGCCACAAGTTCCAGAATCTGTGGCGTCAAGTAGACAAATTCCTTGTTTGTTGCCGGCTTGTGCTGTAAAAATGTCTTACCGCTGCCTTTAATAATGTACTTGAGTGCACACAATGAACTTTCAAGTGCTTTCCATCCACTCACATCATCCAGTCTATAGGGTGTTGAGGGTGTGCGTGGTGTACTCTCTGGACTCTGTGGTGGTGTCATCATACCATTCGTACTGACATTATCGTCCAATTCGTCAAATCCGGTTTCTTCAAAGTCAGGTGAACGACTGAGGTTTGCAACTACCGAGTCGAGAATCTGTGGCGTAAATTCCTGTGTAACCCACACAAGGTTCCATTTTGCCAACACACCCAGTAGTTTTGCCACTTCCATACGAACTCGAGGTTCATAATACTCTAAATGCTTATGTATTGCTTGTTTAACTATCTGCATGATAAAAACATCCGAGAGTGGTGGAATTTGGACGATATAAAGAGGTAATTCTTGTAGAGGTAAATAATAGTCCGTATCATTAGCATCTATGTCGGATAAGTAAAGATAACGACTCAGTAGATCACGTACGACGACAATAAATACAGCAAGAGGTTCCCAACGTTCTTTTCCATACAATAAAAGCGTCTGTAGCTCCTGTTCAAGCAAATGACGACGTGATTCTTCATCAGAAATTGCTAATTCTTTGGTAGAATTAGAATCAAATGGACTCAGAAGTTGTAGAACAGTGAAAGCAGTAGAAATAGCGCCTTCTGGAGCCTTTGGACGGTTCTTTAGCGTACGTAAGGAGCTCTCAGCACGGGATAGCTCCATTGTTGTTAATTTGGGTTATGAGATAGTATGAAAGAAAGGAGGTTCGATGAGGAAGGCTAGATGTGAGGATATTAAGTAATTGAGGTGAGCCACTTATGTTGTCAAAAATAATAGCATATGCCATAGTACTTTTTACGACTACATTTACTACTACTATTACTACATTTATTATTACTATTACTACTTCTTCGACTACCGTTTCAAGAGAATGGGAATGAATTCGGGCAACGTGGGCAGTTATGCGGCAGGAGTACTGGCAGGCGTAGGATGGTGGGTCTTTGCGGATGGTGCAGCGTCTGCAGCCTACACTAATTCGCAGATTCCTTTCGACTTTGTAAAGTACTTGCCAGGCATTGTCTCTACGCTTGCGTTCTTTCTGTACATGCAATTACTACTTTTTGTCGATATAGATAGGTATATAGTGCTGTGATACTCTATAATAACACTTATGTGCTTGCCACAGGGTTAATACCGTGGACTGGGGTATGTTATCAGAAGATGCTCGCTTTGTCTATGGTTCAGAAGTAGCCACTCGCGCTCGGTTTGTAAAATATGTACTACTATCTTACATAGTACTTTTGACTAAAATTGTAGTACTCTCTTGCTGCTTTGATATAGGTGCTTTGTAGTGTTTTGCATAGCTCTTTCGGTAGCTGCACTAGTGGGTTCGGTATTAGTGTTTACACACACTTACGTAAACAATGAGTACAACGAGTCGGCGTGGCCAGGTGCTGCTATTGTGTTCCAGAATGGATTTATAGTAATGGGCACTTTTGTCATGCGAGTCGGTACCATCGCTGCCGCATCGACGTATTGAAGTTATGTAGTATTATTTTGTTACGCCGTGATGTTCAAGGGACAGACAGTTGATGTAAAGCTTCAACTAGTAAATCTTATGATGGTGGCAGCTTCTAATAGCAATGCTCACCTCTCAATCACAGGCGTGGCCATTTGCTTCATGTGGCGTTCCTAGAGTAATACGTAGCTTTAGAGATGTTGTCCATGATTAGCTCAAGTTGTGATCGAAACCTGCTCCCATGGACAAAATTGGCTGTCTCTCTACCTGATAGTCATTGCAGCCACTCTACTATTCCTCTTCACAGATTTTCTGTACGGAGCAACATAACAACACACTGACGCACGGATGCTCTTAGATTGTGCTTGAAACTACGTCGCCGATACAATGTTGACCTCGTTGTAGCTCTTGTAGGACATGTGCCTCAGGTGAAATGACAGCCCCCTGAGCTGCTAACAGCAAGTTGTGCAGCTTAGCAAACAAGATAAACTATGCCGACATGAACAAGTTTTTGACTGTGGTATCGCTTGCAGTCAATCTTCTGTGGGTAGTCATTAACTTTGCGACCACCTTAACAAGTGACGTGCAGAAGATACAGAACACTAAGATACAATGGCCCATCAAGGAAAATAACTTGCGCAGTTATTTCACACCCTGCCATGGCTAATGCAGACACAAATAATAGCTGTACATAAGGGCAGTTCGTTATGAATATACGCGATGCATTTGGTGAGTAATGCCTGTTCTGTTGACGTCATGGCAGATTATTTGCTAGATGTCAATGCGAAGTGCTGGTAGCGATGAAGAAAAACGAAGCAGAAGATAATCTGTTTCCGAAACTACCACAATTTTGTGGGACTATCAACGCGCAGATGGTTCATGCATCTAATGTATGCTGTCCAGTAACGCCAGCTCCTTCGCATGCATGAACAGCGCAAGAAATTTGCTTGCCACTTTGATGCGAGTAAGAGCTTGCTTACAATCAGCCTAAGAAGCTCATAGAACCTTCACTTGCCATTATTTGTCTACATGTGAAACGTGATTTCAGTACGTTACTGTCACTAGAGACTGAAAGTAGTGAGCATCAGAGTGATTGCTGTAGCTAATTGCTCACTTAGGTTGCGCTTGGTGAACAACAGCAGTCATAACCGCTCGTGTCACTTCCCCCTACTCAAATCTGTCACCTTCGTTTCTTCATGACCTAAAAATTGACTTGCTGTAAAGCTTCATGTCACTTGACTCGAATATGTGAAGAAGACATGGATCAAGGAATTGGCATTAGACACACGATAGAATCGAAAAACGCGCAGCCGTAGTCACAGTTGATGAGAACAAGTGACTAGTTGAATCATGACCACCCATATTGCTACGAAACGGAGGTTAACATGCAAACTTCTTATGTCCATTCCTTGGTCTCAGCTTTGTAATCCAACGTCGCAAGCTCGTAACATTCGTAGCTGACGGTGGAACAAGTATTCGTGCAGCTTCTGTCTTGATACGGTGCGATTCAAACACGTTGATGCTATTGATCTTTCGAATCAACCAACGTTGCAAGACGAGAAGCAGCAATCCATACGACACTGGATAAGTTTAGCCAGGGAAGTTACACAAGCATAGAACCTCCCAGTGAGGTTAAGAAACCGATCGCTTGTCACGGCCACTCGGACCACATAACTAACTGTTGGGATCACCTTAAGACGACGGCCAACTGGTCAGCTCTCTATCCTTTTTCAGGCCAGATCTTACCATACGACTGGTCATTTGATAGACATTTACTCGACAGCAGCTATCAAAATGATCACCAACACCAAAGCTTTAGACGTCACATCAAACGGAATCAAAGCCCCCCGCTCACGATCGCTCCTCGACCTTTCGAGTTGCTGGACCAGTCCGCACTGCTCCACCAATTCGAGGCCGCGCTGCTCGCTCGCATCGATCCAGGAGAGGATTTGCCTTGGGAAAATCGCGCTTGTCGTTAAAGATCGATCCCGATAGTATAACTACTGGAAAGAGGACACCTGTTACGGGACAATCGACCCCCGCATCAACTTCCAGTAGTTGTGGCAGTGATGCGTTGCCGTGGTGGGAAGTCGAGTATCAATGCCCACCCCCAGGTCATCTCGGTGTTCATGTGGTTCCCGTCTCCACTGAAGAGCAAGTAGAAGATTCTACATATGTAACAAATGAAGCTGTACAAACTAGCAGCATGACGAAAAGCACAGAGGGGAGTACCAGAAGACGCTTCAAGTCCGTCGAGCGTTTGACTTTCGCTCAGACAGAGTCAATCTTGTCGCCCAAGATCATTCAACCAGGCATCGATCGATACGAGAATATTCATCGAGCACTACGGGGTCCACGCAGCAAGATATTGACTACAATGGCGTCCTCTCCTGGTGGTAAGTTGCTGCAAATTCTCTCAATATCTGACCAGACGAAGTACTAACTGATGATGATCTTGATCTGATGGCCTTTACAGTATTAACAGACAGCAGTCCGAGTCAGAAACGTAAAATACGGCCCCATGACATGACAGAATGTGAGACTTCTCTTTTCTCTACACCCGTAACGAAGGAACTCAAGCGTGTCCATGAGTCTAGGTATTGCCATATTTCGTGTCATTTGATTGGCTATTCTAGTTGAAGTTGACTTTTAATAAAATGTATCCATGTATGATTATATTGTAGATTGAAGATTCTATCTAATCAAGTGACGACGCCATCTACATTCGTGCATCCACTTACACGTATTAATATTGGCCAACTACATGGACATGATCAAGCAAGTAACTGTATCGACAAGATGGAAGACGACGAGCGTCCTGTTCCTTAAGCAAAGAAGTATGCTACCTATTTTCTACCACTCATATGTATTTCTTGTGCGTTGTTATATCCAATCATTATAATTAAAACAAACTCACATATGACTGGTCAAAGACCAACTTCTGGAATGTCCCCGAACTTTGATATCCATTCAACTATAAACCAGTCAGTCAAAAAAACACCAAGTTGAACTAGCATAGCGATTAAATTTAATCATGACCGAGGTAGGAATTAACCGATATATTGATAGGAATTAACGTTCTTGTTAATATAATTAACTGTGATCTGTGATATACGACTACTTACTTGATAGACAGCTGCCGAATGGAAAACAAAGGGTAACACTGCATTAAGCAATGGCAACGCACAAGAGGCCGTTGACTGTTACACAAAAGCCATTGCACTGAATCCAAGTGATCATGTGTTTTATTCCAACCGATCAGCTGCTTTTTTATCGTTAAATGATGCGTTACATGCATTGGAAGATGCAGAATTATGTATCAAAACAAAACCTGATTGGCCAAAAGCTTATAGTCGTAAAGGTGCAGCTTTACATGCTCTTAAACGCTACGATGAGGCTACAGCTGCTTATAATGAAGGTTTGCAATTGGATGGATCAAATGCAGCGTGTCTTAGTGGCATTGATGAGGTAAAGAAAGCACAAGTAGCAGCGACAACACAGTCATTTAATCCATTGGCAAATGCTTTTGGTCCTGATATGTTTGGTAAAATTGCTACAAATCCACGTCTTGCACCGTTTCTAAGTGATCCAGCATTCATTCGAGTATTACAAGAGATTCAACAAGATCCATCCAAGATCAATGAACATATAAGAGATTCACGGGTGATGACAGTACTTGGTGAACTCATGGGATTAAATATTAATATGGGTGATGTTGACGACGAAGATATGCCAACAGCAACAACAACAACAACGTCATCGACACCGAGATCCGAGTCTACACCCGTACCAGAACCTACTCCAATGGAGGAAGATTTGACAGATGAAGAAAAGGCCGAAAGAGCAGTCAAAAAGGCCGCAGAAGAAGCTAAACAACGAGGCAATTCGTTTTACAAGCAAAAGCAGTTTTCTGAAGCGATTGAGTGCTACAATGGAGCGATTGAAAAGGATCCGACTAATATGTCGTATTACAGCAATTTGGCTGCTGTGAAGCTAGAGATGGGTCAGTATGATGCGTGCATTGAGGACTGCAAGTAAGTAACCTGTGCTTTGTGCAGACTGAAGTGCTGGATGCTGATATACTGATACTAACTGTTTGTATACGATAAAACAGGAAGGCGATAGAAGTAGGCCGTGCGAATCGTGCTGACTATGAGCTGATTGCCAAAGCATATGTGCGTGTTGGCAACGCTCACCTGAAGAAGGGTGAGACAGAGGAAAACCTGACGGCAGCTATTGACTCGTACGAAGGAGCTCAGATGGAGAATCGAACCAAGGATGTGGAGCGTAAGATTAAGACGCTCCAGGTGAAGCTGCGCAAGGTTAAGGAGCTTGCATACATTGATCCGGAAAAGGCGCTGGAGGCTAAGAATGAGGGCAACGAATTCTTTAAGAATGGCGATTTTCCTAAGGCCGTGGAGCGCTACACCGAGGCTATCAAGCGGGACCCGTCGTGTGCTGTGTACTACGCTAACCGCGCGGCAGCATATACGAAACTAACGTCATTTAACGAGGCAAAGAAGGATTGTGAAAAAGCGATCGAGCTTGATCCCAAATATGTAAAGGCATACTCTCGTATGGGTGCGATACAGTGTTTCATGAAAGAATTTCACAAGGCTCGTGAGAGTTACGAGAAAGGCTTGGCGCTTGACCCGAACCATCAGGAGTGTATTGACGGTTTGCGAAACGTCATGTACAAGATCCAGGCCGGCGAGACGGATGAGGAGCGTGCGCGTCATGGAATGGCAGACCCGGAAATTCAGGCAATTTTGCGCGATCCGGTGATGCAGAACGTGCTGAATGATTTTCAAACGGATCCGACGAGTGCTCAACGTCATTTGCAGAACCCGGGCATTATGGCCAAGATTGAGAAGTTGATTGCCGCTGGTGTGCTACAGACCAAGTAAGCGCAGTTAAAGCTGTTTGTTGGTTGGTGTCTGTCTGATCATAATGATGGTGAATCAGAGATAAAGCTCAGGTTAGTTTTTTAAAGCATAGCAATCTCAATACCTTCTCCATATTGACCATGTCAATGGTCAGTCTTGTATGCAAACGGCAAGACTATTTTCCTAGATTTACATTCAGTTGTATCATTATTACGCAGCGCCAATCAACTCCGCTACTGTTCTATCAGATAATACCTTAGCAAGTGCTTCTGCTTGACTAGTACGTTAGCATTCATACTTTATCGTCTTCATGGAGTAAGCAATACTAATATATATGTATATATATTCAATTATGATCGACTATCGTACATTCTTTTGCCTCGGGTTATCAAGGTCGGTGCTTTTAGACCTAATGGTGATGAATATATTCACAGATTGTCAGCTTTCTCAGTCGCTAATGTTTACAAAAAAGAGAGGAACGTAATTTACATTTGCTTTATTTTACCAATTGTATTAGAGCTGCACTATGAAAATAAAGCTATTTATAATAAACACGGACCCTGCAATAACTTATACAACAAATGTATCTCTCTCTACAAAATGATTGAATAGAAAGTAATTAATTATAATTCTATTAGCTTACCTCAACAAGAAATAAAATTGAATCACAATCAGCACCATTTGGCAAATTAATAAATAAATATCAATTTGATTATGCATGTAATCTTATAAATAAATAAAACCTAGATAAAGTATGTCAAAACACATTTTGTTTATTAATTGTTTAGCACAATGTCAGCACACAACTTATGCGACATGAACACATCTTATAGGCCTGCCGACATGGCATGATAAAGTAGTCCTAGATCATTCTATTTTTTTTCTTGAAGCTCATTACTGTTTTGTTTTCTATTTTTTTGGTAGTTTGATATAACTTTCTAAAAATAGACAAGAAAAAAGTTCTAGAATTATAATCTAAATGAACGAAGTTATTGCAATCTTTGTTCAGTCTTAAATTTGCCGACAAAACTTCATGAGCCACAGGACAAAATATCACGAAACATTTAGGAAACGATTCAAAATTGATGATACAAATAAAAAGGAATTGTCATTAGTCTCTGAGATTATAGCATTAGTACCATCAAGTGTCACATCATTTTTAGCACCTGAAGATGCATTAAATCTTCTTACTCATTGTACTCTTTGTCTATCGCAAGATGTTTGCGATATCATTGCTACCCAAGGACTAAAAACATTCTTTGATCGTGAGGAAGTGCATTATGGGAAAGGTTGTATACGTGATTGGCATCAACTAGTATCTACTAAAGCTGCAATGGACCGTGCTGGTCGACACGGATGCATCCACAGTCTGAAACACAATACTTCCATATCAAATGACTTAGTCTTCCCACGAGTTAGCACAAACGCTCGTCATCATTTATTGGAAGCCATGTGTCTAGTCTACAAAGGTATTCAGCCACACTGTTTTCAGGTTCTTCAGTTAGATCGTAATTTTGAACGTCGGCAATATGGTGTTCTACAACCAATTGCGTTTTCTCTCGCTACGGCACTAGAGCAGCAACAACAGCCTTTTGAGAGAAAAAAACAAGTTGATGAAGTCATTCATGCAAATGATATTGCGACACTTACTCGCTTGCTGAATAGTCTCGAGATGGACTTTGGTACACGCTTTTTTCGTCCTACTGATCCATCACACAGTCCATCGGGAATGGTCGAAGCACATTGGAGAAATATTCATGTAGACTCGACGACTGACTCGACGTTTTGTTGTTTCTGCGATAGCAATACAGAGAGCATGGTCGAAGGTCCATTAAACCCACAATTTCGTCAGGCAGAGTACGAGTTCTTAATGCGTCAGCACTGCCGGAATGTGTATCAGCCGCTTAAACAGTTTATGACACGTCATTTGCAGCATGTGCGCTATGTGCGTCCTCCACATGGATGGAACGAGGCAGGAGATAATTTGCAAGGAAACCAATGGCTTGACCTCATTGCGGGCTTTACGTCTGGTGGCGTGCTTTGCGGCGTTTATTTGACAGACGTTCGTATTCCACGCTCCTGGATCACTGCGCCTGGCGCGTATCCTTTTGACGGTAGTGCAATTGATCTTACTCGTCTCCGTATTGCGTATTAAAGAGCAAGAGTAGACTTGAACCATATAAAACTGCCGCAACCTTGTCAAAATGTGCATGGCTGGGTGTCTATTACGTAGCCTTGTTTAAGAAAAGCTCTAGTAAAAGCTTTATGTCGTGCCCTATGGCATTTAGTAGGCGATTATACTTGTTGGAAGGACATGTGACTCGAGAGTTCAGATTGCAGACGGTTTTAAGGCCAAATATTAAGACAAGAATTGGGACTACAGCAGAGACTTGGTGCAAGCTGGATCTCGAATGCTTCAAGTTACTCTTCATGACGAGCTTTTATGACACCTTGCGCACAAGAATAACAAGTTTAAGAGCAATCATGACCAATGCTCATGAAGTTGTTATCTGCTGGAGAAGTTTTGAGATACAAAGTGTATCGAGAGCAATGAGGATCAATCACCTTGCACTATTATTGTCTCTAGCTCTTGTCCCCGGACGTAGACTACTGTTTGAAATAATGACCCGGTATACGAATCTTGCATTTTTGAGATGAAATTGATAAATTTTGATTACAGAAGTTGTATCGAGTTGAAGGGGTATTAATTATTAAAGATTAAACAACCAATGGTCAACCACTCTTAAGTATATTCTATCCTCACGCCATACTCAATCTCTCAATCTCTTTGTCTCTTTGTCTCTCTATCTATCTAAGCATCAACATAAATCAATGCAAGAATCACAGCGTTTTCCATTGGGTACACGTGTAGCAGATCCATTAGAAGGTCGTACGGGTGAGATACAAGCATTTGATGCTACTACAGGGCTCTATACCCTCGTATATAACGATAATCACCGCGACGTCTTATCCACCAATCAGACCGAGTTATTTGTTATTCAAAAAGCACAACCGGATAGTAGAAGTGAGTCCGAATCAGATCCGAATCAGTTCTTAGGTGCATCAATCATGAGAAGCTCTACAAGCTATGAAGGCAAAATACTCACAAGTTGTGGTCACGTGACGCAGTATTTCAGTAATATTAAACGTTTTCGTGTGCTCTTTTCCGACGGCTTCTACTCAGATATGACGCTAGAAGAAGTACAAGAGAATATACAGACAGACGAAGAATCAGATGTGAAGACCATGACAGATACTGACGAGCTCTTGAGAAGAAAAGAGAAGAAGAATCAACCGGACTTTGATCAAAAAAAGGAGCGACCATTGAATACAAAAAAGTTTGACAGTCGTAAAACAGCTTATACCATGTGTCGAGAGGTATTGAGTATTATTTTAAACCAGAAGAAGGGGAGTAAACATTGTTCCGAGAAACAAAAAGTGATTCTAAACAACAAGGACTTGACGGTACGAGAGCCTGAAATAATTGTTTTGTCAAGCTAGAGCACGTTATTTTTAGCCTGATATTAATTGATGCTGACGTGTGCTAGCCGAAACGAGCGCTAGAGGTATTTGTTGAAGCAGACGGATTGTACGCACTGGAGAAATTTTTGAACATTTGGTTTCGTCTTGAGAGCACGCGCTCAGCTGCCCTGCTCATCATGAAGGTATGGACGGCGTCAAGAAGCAATGAATTTTATTTGTATTGTCTCGTATAATCTGACGTTGCTTGTGCCAAGGTTTTGGCCATGCTGCCTGGCGTGAAGGAGGAGCATTTAAGAAAAACAAATATTGCACGTACACTGCGGGGTATTGAAAAGCTTAGCTACTCTAGCCACATTGACATTGTGTTTGGCGACCTGGCGCATTGGATTATTCAAAAATGGGCGAGAACGGCGATGAATCGCTCATTCAACCGATCGGCACGAGACTTGCTGCTTGAGCAGCAAGCTCAAATTAGGCGGGCGAACACAGATGGCCAGGTGCATTTAATTGCACGCTCAACGACAAAATCAACTCCACAACAGAAAGAAACGGCTCGTTTAGAAGCATTGCGAACTGGGACGGACGCAAGTGCATGGTCTCCACAAGACCCAGGCGAGGAAGTCGTGGTGTATTTGCCACAATTCAACTCGCTGGGCTCGGAGAATATGCGTCGTCCCATTCGTCAAACTCAAGTAATTGAGTCGCTGGCGGCAAAAATTAATCGTGACTACGAAGACTCGGTGAAAAAGCACTATGAGAACGAAGAGGCAGAGAAAGAAGATGGCGTGACTTCCGGGCGGATGGTGTTTGGAAAGCCTCAATTGCTGCATTTCAGCCAACACGTTCCTGTGATAGGCTTACTCTCAACGACGCGGAGTAAGATAGTTGACAAGAACACAGGAAGTAGTGACGGTGCTGCGGTCTTGACAAGTGGTGAAAATGGTGAGAGTTTGTTACCGAAGACTTTGCCAATGCCCAACAAGACGCAAGCGCCGAAGAAGTCCATTCTGAAAGTCAGACATGAAGTCATTACACCGGCGTCGCAAGTAAGTTGGAAGCCTGAAAACTGAGCATTGATCATAAAATGCGAGTCATACCAGTTCACCGACCACTTTTTTCATTTTGTGTATCGATGCAAACGAGTTCGTATTTGTGAGGTACAAGTTTAGCAATTGATACATTTTAAAAGGCACGTATTGCTAAGTAAATGCAACTGCGTTACTTTATTGTCTATTGCACGAAGTCGTACAAGTAACCACTGATCCCATAGCGAATGAAGAAGGCCAGGATACAGCACAGCACTTGGAACGCAAGCAATGCGAAAACAAGGTGGTTCTCTTTCATGGGTCCAAACATTACAAGGAACAGATTGATAATCGTGTAGTTGGACCGGGTAGACTCGGGTGTGATTGTCGATGGCTCCAATAAACCAGTCTTCGCATTGAACTTTGGCAGCCTGTGACGCGGGCAAGGAACAATCTTGAGTAGTTGCGGAATCGAGTACAGGAAGTTGAGGACCTGAGGCAGAAAGAAAAGCAAAAGGGTCTTGCTGAAGTGACCCAAAATGCCACACACTGCAAAGGTCATGCCAGCGTAGTAACAGAACGTGTCTCCAACAAAGACGCGCGACGGGTACCAGTTGTGTTTCAGCAAACCAAGCGTTGTCGCCAGATACGGTGTCATGAACATTAGTGAAAGGTAGTGAAAATTCTCGTTGTCATGGCGTAAGAGAATCTGCCACACATTCTGCACAACCACAGCAGCACCAATTACGAAAGACTGTCCTGCCTCCAATCCGTTCACACCTGCGTAAATGTTGATTGCGTTCGTGCAAAAGACCGCCATCATGCCCATATAGAGATAATAGAAGAGACCAAGCTCAGCAATGTCTCCGCCATCACTAATTGGTACTATAGGATTGAGCAACGTGTATAGTATCTTGTCCTTCATGAACAAAAAGCGCATCGGCTTGGGTAGCACCACCGTCGTAAGTCCAGCATAATTGATCAACAATGGAAGCGACGCCAGTGGTGGAAACAGCAACTTATGGCGCCAACGAAGGTCGGACAAGTCGTCAATGAATCCCAGCAAGATCATGGACAGAATGCTGACAATCCCCCACGTCATCATGCGCTTTACATCCAAATTGTCTACTACTGTAAGCACCGTCAGGATTAATGCTAGAATGTATATAATCCCTGATACGATTCCTAGAGCCTCAGGACTGCACAGTTAAGAATAAATACCAGTATAAGAAGAAAACACATCAAAGTCGCTGTTAATCCCATTGCATTGAGTTTAACGATCAAACCTTTCGTTAAGAATGAGATATCTCACTTACATTGGAATATCTCCAGCTGGAGTCCCTCGTTTGCATAAATCTTTTCCCGAGAGTTTCACAGGCATAAGACGTCCAATAATAGGTATGAGTAACGATACAGTTATATAACTTAAGATATTAATGCCTACTAAACGCAGCAAATACATGTGGAGCTCAGTAGGAAGCTCGTTTAATATTAATAGCATGGTCAAATGAAGATAACAAACAAGAACATTTGAATATGGATTGATATTTATGCTATATCATAGGAATATCAAGTGTGACAATGATACTGTAATTAGTCGTCACAATGTGTTCGCGGTTTAAGTCAATAACTGGTAATGACAGACAAATGGTGGTACATGTACGAAGAAAAAGAGAAGAAGAAGAATTTAACAATGGAATTGAACTATAAGATGCTTGTAAAGATGAAGACATATCAACATTATCATGTCGAGGAGATGACGCAGTGCTTGACATTGGTGGTGACAGCGGTGGCGGATATCGAAAGTGGTTGATTGGCGATGTCGAGTACGGTCTGGATATGGATGACATCATGTCACTTGAGTGTATCCGCAATTGCGTCGTTTCTTCTGTATCGATTGATACACTACCGTCCTGGTGAATGTGCACATCATTAGACACAATGGTCTTGAGCATAAATTTGCCCTCATACTCATTAAACTCAAGCACAACAAACTCGCCATTGCGAAAGTTTTCAAGTCGCTCAAAGTCACTGATGCGGTATTTGAAGTAACGCATGAGTATCACGCGGATAGCGACACCATGTGTCACAAGCACGTAATTTTCTTCTGATGACTTGTCAAACATACGGTAAAGGGACTCGAGAAAGGATGACACACGATCGTACACATCAGCGGGTGATTCTCCACTTGGAAATCGATAGAAAAAGCAACCAAATCGCCGACGTTGTGCTTTACATTCGCGCATTTTCATGGGTTCCTGGAAATTACCAAAATCCTGCTCTCGGATACGAGGCTCCTCGGTCCATGGAATGACCTTACCTTGAATCCCCCAAGCTTTGCGAATACCACAAAACGTCTCAATTGTGCGTACATATGGTGAAACAATAAACCTCTACAATAACAATACAATATACAGTTTCTTAAGAAGTAGTAGATTATAACTCATGCATACCACGTCTGTGTGTGTAATCAATTAGTTAATCTACAACGTACCATAGTTTCCTTCCCGACTATTTGCCTAATCGACTCACCCACAGCTATTGCCTGTTCGTAACCAAGTTCTGTCAAATGTATGGCATTGTCGGGTACGCGTCCATACAATAATGGATCAATATTGCCTTCGGACTCGCCGTGACGCACGAGAATCAGACGTTTTGGAAAGCCTTTTTTTTTCTTGCAACACAATAAACACGTGAAGCGCCGTAATAAGAAACCATACTCAGAGCTTTCTGTTGAGCACGTAGACATGCGATTAAGAACCAATACAATACTAATTATGGAACCTGCAAGCGCTGCGGAGGCAACGCTCGCTATAACAGTTGACGTCGAATACATTTATCTTATGTGCTTGCGCAATAATCCTCTTTATAATAGCGTTTCGTAACTTGCGCTATTTACAGTGAAATTGATTATGACACTATACGTCAAATATTTTTCTATTCGAATTTCGGCTTCTGAAAGTACTTACAGAGATTAACTCATGACATATTTAGTGTGTTAGTTGTAGCTAAAAGGACAAAGAACGGTATTATAGCGAAAAAGGACAAAAAATATTAAACTTTAAAATACTGTCATTGCCTATTATACCTAGTGGCTCCACTAACATGCAATACAAAAGTGGTAGTACGCACAGTGATGAAAATGCTGTTAATTAATTGATTGAGTCAAGATAATTCATTACCATCAGATTTATATTAAAACGATCATCAAACTGTAGCGGGGAGCCCGTGACATGACGTTGGCACCATCATTAGAGGTCAATGCGAATATAGTATCGTATCGATAACATTCCACATACGGGGATTAGACCGTCCTGTGTACTTTTCAATTTAACGAAAAAACCACATTTTAATGCAAAATTCGAGCTGTAAGTAGTAGAGTAAACGACTTTTCAAGACAAAGCCTCTTTTGCCACTTTTTTTAGCCAAAAAATTAAGTGATTTGGCGTCTCAATGGAGACCCAAATACACAGACAACGCAAGCAAAAAGCTACCCATCATATTACCCTGGTCCGTCATACTCTTGTGACTCCAGCCAAAATACGTCTGAACACTCATACGCACCATAGGACCCAATTGACTAGCCAAAAGCCACCCAAAAAGAGCGACGCAAAGTAGAGCGGAGTGCCGTGAGTTGTAGCCGCGTTATAGTAACCCGTAAAGTAGCGCACCGTATCCAACATCATCCCAAAGACCATCGACACAAACACCAGTAGGTTCGGCAGCTCCATGATACTGTTGCCACCAATAGCCCGTATGGCGGCCCATGTGACCTCTTTCCCGTAAATTCCCAGTAAAAAGTCTCAAAACAGCCATAAGATGTACAAACGCGTACGAGAACCACGTTTGCTGACTACGCAGTACATCGTCATTGTCAACCGTTCGATTCGATAGAGCCAAAAGAATACTCTGCGCCACAATTTTAGGAACAAGAGCCATAAGCAAACGCAGTCCAGACGTATATATCGGAGCCCAGTGTAGAGAAAGTAGGCCGTGATGTAAAAGAAGAAGATAGCCGGGAACGAACCGATTGGATACACGGTTAGGTTCATAAAGAACACCCAGCGCATAAACTTGTTGATCTTGCGCTTCGGGTGGCAGCTTAACTTGTGGTGGCGTCCACTTTGGATCCACCAAACTTTTCTTGTTGCGCAAAATATCTGGAGGTAGCCTTTTGCCCAAAGCTTACGTTGTGGCAAGGCAGCAACGAAAGATTGGGCACAGCACTTTCTGCAAGACGAATACGGTCATCCTGCTCGTATTCGATATCCTTGCAAAAGTAGTAACACTTCTACCGTCATTTTGCCCGTGCGCCGGAGGGTAGCATTTGTCCCAGCCAACGAAGTACAGTCGCATCCATCCATACCGCTCTGCACCGAATCCAAGAACGTCGAGTTATGGTGACTGGACGGGTCACCAAGGCACAGATGCATACAGTCCTCAAAGTACTGAGATGTCTGCACAAAGCCGACCTGATTCACCGAAACATGGTCCAAGTAATTATTGGCCGATACACAAACTGGTTGCTATCATGTGCGGCACAACCCCTTTGTTTTATTGAGCTTGCTACCACAGCTGGCACCCATCATGCGCTCCGACATGGTGGTCTGCGTCTAGCGGCGATGAATGCTCGATTTGACGGGTCCCGATGCGTTGCAGCAGTCCTTCGAGCAGTACATAATTGGGCCTGGCAATCCGGCTGCTTACAGCGCAAGCACAACACATATTTGCCGCTATTACACATAACCAGGAGCACAACAGTGCGTAATTCAAGTCTGCGGTGCGTCAAAGAAGAACGGGAGTGTTGCTTGAATAAACATCTCGTGGGCTTCATATCGTTATATAAATGATGGCATAGTGACTACAAGCATCTTCATGTACAGCACGACATTGAACCGCCTGTGCACCACTCAAAGGCTGGCAACATAACGTGTCGCACAAACGTCAGCTTCAGTGATAATCGTCACGCACGGATCCAATAGAGCAGTCGACGCAGGTGACGATGCGTGGATTTGCCATCGTCCACATCTTCACAGTGGTGTATTTCCTTGCGCCATTTGTCCATCTCCAACTCGTACGACTCGCACACGCGACCGTACATGTACTAAACTACCTCGTGACGGACATCACCAGTATCCTCAATCACGTAAGCATCCACGCTAACCTTATACTAGATCGCAGTCTCCCATTCAAATTTGCAATATCCATTGTCACAGATTCAAACATGGAAAAGATGAGATTGGTCATCCAAATTCATAATCTTTACCAGCGTCGCAACAGTGTCTTCGGCTGGCTCAGCGTAGTGATAGCAAAGTATTTACCGTCAGCCATCAGCATTAACCATAAACAGTGCGAGAACCATTCTTTTGTTTCCTCAAGAACACAAAACAAGAAGTAGTTTACCTATTCGGGGAAAAGCGTGACAACACGTACATAGCGAGCACCACGACGTACAGGCTTCCACATACCCAAATACTGCAAGAAACCCAGCAAGACGCTGATACAATCGGACAAGTAGAAGAGAAAGTTTGACTTCCAGTAACCAATGCGAGGTTCCTTAAAACGTCTTGCCGTATTAATGTTAGCCGACCAATGGTACTATTGCGGAGGGTCCCAAAACTCCGTTTAAGGACTTGTCACCGCACTGCAACGTCTCGGCGTAAAACAGCTGGATTCTCTCACACGTCTCTGTCTTGTGCTTGCCATCACAAGGCTCTTTACCTATAGGGAACCACAGCACGATGCCTGCAAGCTCAATGGATGCCGTAGCTCAATGATGACGTACCAGAACCAACATGTTTTCCTTTCATTTCGTACACGCGGGGTCGCTCTACACAACATTTTCAAAGTAGCCGATATGACGTTAAACCTAATGCATCGAACAACATAGTGAAGTCCTTGTCCGTCTCGTGACATATATACCATGACGATGACGCGTGTGAATAACAATACCTCTTGCCGGTAGATCAAGACGTCTACTTGTTTAATCATAAAAGCATCCCGCAGGTCAACGGCACACACGACCAATTCATCATTGCGTGAATCAAAATACTTCCCACAGTTGGCCTCATTATGAAAGTAGTATGTTGAGCGCCTTCAAAAAAATATAGCCCATTTGTCAGCTCTTGGCCACAGGACTTTCAAACTTACGACTCTCCTGCTTGTGCATCCAAGCTTACATGCACTGAGATTTGCCCACATTCTCGCACCTCGTGGGCTTCGTGAATTCGCTACTGGCTTTCTGTGCATCGACTGTTGACTGTAAGAGAGTGTTCTTACCCGAGAAGACAGTTGACAAAAGTTGCGGGTGATTTTGACGTCTGGAAGAGATGTCTTCTCGTACTAAGCTTCTTCAGACAGTGAGTGTAATTTGAAGGGTCGGGAGAATGCCGATTGGCCATGGACCTTAGATAACCGTAAATGCTGGTTCTTTGTGTCTTAAACTGAGTAATGCTCTCTAGAAGCAAATTGAATCGGCTTGTATTGGATGCACGAAGATGATGATGATCCCGATAGTCTATTTGTGCTTAGCATTATGTACGCGCATAACATTAAAGTAACGTATCACCTTCTTCTTCTAGGATGTAGAGCCGTGACCGTCCTCGCCGTCTCATTCAGCGCGCTCGATACGTCGGACTTTGCGGGAGAAAGAGGGTCCAAGGGGACGTGGGAGTACGGAGTTGTCTTCAAGGGATGACACTCAGGCTGGATGGAACTTAAATTGAATGGCCAGACTGCTCACAAATTCGAAACAGTCCACCGGGTAGGGAGGGGGCACAGGGGTCACTTGGTTGGGACCCATTGCAGATGTCCTGGACCCATCCACGCACTTGACTTGCTCGGCTTTCCAGATCAACGCGTGAAGCGGGTCTGGTGCAGAGTTGTCTAGACGACACCGTTAGACGAAGCGTATTTGGTTGCTGCGGACGCTGCATAAACAAAACGCTACCGGTTCTCAACAATGCAGCACGTAGTCCCTACTTGATCGTATGACCTGATTTTTGTTTGAGCGTTAAACCATTAGTCAGCTTCAATAATTGTCATGTTCACTTTGAATCTAGAGTTTATGCTTTTATCAGTTGGTTGGCGTATTTTTAAGGCGGCTCTATCGCTTAAGCTTCAAATATTATTATGAGCTTATTTTTACTTTGTTTGTGGCCTTCAGTGGTTGCACTGTTCTCTGAATTCTTTGTTAGCTTAATTGCGGCAAACCTGATTGTAAGCTGTGGAGTACAGTAAACTTACTGTACTTTTGTATTAGTCTCCAAGCAACCATTGAGTTAATCTGCAGATCTCGCTTATGGCCATGAAATCTAAAACCACTTTTTACGCGGGATTGGCGTCTGGGCTGAAATTGTGGTGTCATTTAGCCTGTTGAAGCGCTTACAATGCGCCAAACAATGTGGCTTTCTTCACAAAGCAAGTCGAGCTTCAAAGTGGCGAAGTGCTCTTGCCTAAGGCCAGCCTTGCGGCGGCTAAATTCATTAATGACGATGACTTAATCGCGGGGCAACGGTAAATGCTGCGTAGCGCAATATTTGGTCCAGGCACGAGGTCAATCTCGTGCCACACTCCACGATCCGCCGAAACTTCAGCAGATATCTTGTAGCGGGGTTACACAAAGGTGTGTATTGTACATACACACCTGCCACACCAATGTGGTGTAGCTTCACCTTGGGTACTGAAGTAGGTGATGTGACCGTACCTGAAGTACGAAGGATCGCATCGTTGCAGAGAGCCACGTGGTCACTATACTTATTTGAGTATAATGACTATGCATGTTGCATAATAATAACAGAGCCAGTAATAGTAACTAGCACTAATTATAGAGTACGTGCTTCTACATTTAGTGTTATAGGATAAACATCAATATAAATCCGTTTCAAACCCCAAGCCTTACAGATTGAGCATTCTACTCCTTCTAAGGAATCAGTATCTTTGATACTAGTCTCTCTGAGACTCTGTTGTTAATACCGTTAGGCACAAGCTTACGAGCTAGCCTAGGAGGGTTTATCACCCTCCTGAGTAGAAGCTCTCTGAGCTTGTCTTCCTCTGCACATAGTGCATACATAGCTTTGCTGCAGTAGTTTGACTACTTCTTCTGCACATAGTGCATAAGTAGCGTAACTACAGTAGCTCGGCTACACCTGGTAACACTTGTAGTCAATCCCGCACCTGGGTTGGCGACTACTTCTCTGTGTGAGAATAAACAACGATGAGATGTCAGCGGTTGGCCTGTCACAGTCACAACAGGAAGGGTTGCAGGGTTGCAGAAGCTGCTCCTCATCCTTGAAGCCTTCGGCTACCTCTCCTCTACTAAGCCTTGATGTGGCAAGGGGTAGTGTTAAAGGAACACGAGGGTTAACCAAACCATTCACATAAAATGAGGTGAAGCCTGTCGAGACATGCACCGCGTTGTTCGACGCAAACTCAATGAGTGGGAGCATCGTGCTCCATTGCTTTGGTGTTTCAGCACAAACACTCCGAAGCATATCACCAATACGCGATTCACGCGTTCTGTCTGACCATCGATCTGTGGATGATCCGTCGTGGACATGTTGTCCAGTCGAGCGCCCAGTACTTAGAAGACTGACGTCCAAAACTTACGTGTAAAACGGGGCCTCGATCAGAGACGATTGCCACAAGCAATCCGTGTTGTCGAAACACACGATCCATGAGCAGCTTAGCTGTTCCTTCTCCATCAATGGAGTCCGGCACTGCCGCTAAATGATCCATCTTGCTCAGTCGGTCAACAAAGACCACAATTCCAGTGTTGCCTGCCGTATCGCGCGGTAGACCAAACACAAAGTCCATACTAATGGACTGCCACAACCCCGAGGGTACAGGCAAACTCGCCAAAATCGCAGCCATAAAAGACGAGGGCTTCACTCTTTGACATGTTTCACACGTGCGTTACATACGTACCAACCCGTTTATACAACTTGGGCCACCAATAATGTGTGCTCACCGAGCTGTAGGTCTTCTCACGACCTAATGACCACCAAGTGGTGTATCATGAGCCTCATAAAACATATTGAGGTCCTCATCATGAGGCGCCACAACACGAGGCTGGTCATCCGACCCTGTACTATAGTACGACAGACCATCATCAGTGCATAACGATGTAATCGCGCATGATTACGTGGTGACAGCTTCACCATAAAGTTTTCAAACTCTGCGCTACCCAGCGCCTGAAAAATGGCAAAACATGCCTCATCACGTGCATACGCCACACGGATACGATCCGTAAGTGAAAATCTCACAACAGTGAGATGAGCAAGCTCATAGTCAGGTCTACGCAATAACGCGTCAGCCAAAACATTCTCGAAGTTATACTCCGCTAAAAAGGAGAGCCAACGAGCCATTCTCTGCGAGAGATGAGGCGACTGTGTCTCTGTGCGTAACGACGCATGATCTGTATAGCTTTGAGCCCAACAGGTGTACCCTGAACTTAACAAGGGCATACTTCATCGCAAGTAGCTCCTTGTCATGAACTGGATAGTTCTTCTCTGCAGCTTTCAGCTGGCGATATTCAAACGCGATGACGCGTTCTCGACCCTCAGCGTCGACTTGCAAAAGTGCACTGCCAATGGCAAAGTCCGAAGAGTCACACACGACGCTAAACGGACGATCAGGATCAGGCAAAGCCAGAATTGGCGCCTGAAGGAGACTCTCCTTAATGGCTTCAAAAGCCTCGTGGTGCTCGGTGTTCCAACACCATTCCACATCCTTTTTAAGGAGATTGGACAATGGCCTAGCCACTTCCGCATAGTTGTGGCTATACTTATGCAAGTAATTTGCCAAACCCAACCACTTGTGGAGGTCCTTTTGGTTCCTCGGAACCGGCCAATCCACTATGGCTTTAACCTTAACAGGGTCTGTCCGGATCCCTCGCTTCCCAATGAAGTATCCGATAAAGAGAATCTCTTCCGCACGAAGATGCATTTGTCAATATTGGCATATAATTTATGCATCCTCATGCAACTGAGCACAGCTCGCAGGTGCTCGATGTGGTTCTCCACATCAGTCTTGCCATTTTCGACTCGACTATGGGCTAATATATCGTCAAAATATGTCTGAGCATACGCCCTATGGGGCCGAAACAACTGCGTCACTAGACAATTGAACGTTGCAAGTGCGTTAGACAGCCCTTGGGGCATCGCTAACCACTCCCAGAGCATACCGCTCGGAGTGCTGAACGCTGTCAGCGGGATATCACTAGCTCGCATGAGCAGTTGGTAATATTCATCGACTAAGTCAAGGGCACTGTACATCGTACATCCCACCATCTTGCTCTGAAAGACATCCTTGCGATGAATCGGTGTTTGAGCCGAGATAGTCGCTGCATTCAGCTTATTGTAAGCATGCACTATTCGTCACTTCCCATTAGGCTTTCCCACACAAAACATGGGCGTAGCGTGAGGAGACTTGCTCTCACGCACCATGCCAACCGCGTGCTTCGCACGAATAAACTCGTCAATGACGTTACATTGTTCTCGTGGCAGCAACAACTGTCGCGTCACACAGTATTTGGTTCCTGGAACCAAGTCAATCTCATGACGTACACCTGGAGGTAACCCCGTAGGAGGTTCTCAGGACACAACATCGCCATATTCCTTCGACAAAGGAAAATAAGGATCCGAAGGGTCCGTCAGGATCTGTGATCCACTACGCGCATTCAGCGCCTTCTTGGTATCATCAAGAACTTCTTTATACAAAGGCGATGAGGAGTTCAACACCTACTCAGGTCGTATCACGACCAATTCGGCGATGTCGCCTGCTGTAAGGCACTGCCAAACTCGGCAAAGGACAATTTTTCCAGCTCTAACAGAGCACTTACTGCGGGCATTGCCGAAAAAGCCATCGGCTCTTCAATATCCCCAGTCAAACCATTGACGAGTGTATACAGCTGTTCGCTATCACCGTCACTCACGATATCATTATCGCTACTCATGATGTTCTCAGAATTTGACGCATCAGCGTCCACAGGTGTACACACCTCAATGTCAAAGACCACTTCGTTTAATGACTGCATCCCACCCTCTTTTGAGTCAATGCCTCGTTATAAGGAGTTCGCACCTCGTTGTCCTCAAAGACTGCCGTCATTTTTGACTTCACCCGACCCTCTTGGGCCAGTACCTCGTCACCAGGTGCTTGCACCTCGCTATCCTCTAAGATAACATCCATTGATGACTTCACTCGACCCTCTTGGATCAGTAACTCGTCATTAGGTGCATGCACCTCGTTGTACTCAAACACAACATCCATTTGTGACTTCACCCGGCCCTCCAGGGTCAGTTCCTCGTTGGTCAGTTCCTCGTCACTCATGTCACTTGAACTCATGTCCTGACATCTTGATTGCAGCCACCAACACCACTCACGGTGTTTATTGATGTAACATCATTTTCATGACACATGTCATATGTGCCGTCTAGTGGGTTCTCAACTACACTATCGACAGTCCGTGGGCCTCGCTCAAGAATATTGTCCTCTCAGCACATGCACTGTCTACCTTCCTCTTGACTACAGTCCATGATTAAAGACCCATCAGACGAGTAGTTGTAAGTGGAAGGCTTAGCGGTCTTAAAGTTGGTCTCGGCATTCCATGCCACTCCAACAGCATCCTCTAATGAGGACGGGTGCGCCCGGAAGACTTCCGTTCTGGCAACACCAACTCGGAGGCCCTCCATGAAGACCGTGATGGTCACTGCCTCAGGTATAGCGTCTATGACCATGGCAGCAATGAGAGTTCTCAACTCTTGTACATAGCCGCAAGCTCACGCTTGCCTTGGCGACACGCCATAAACCGCGACCCATTACGGTGTGCTTAATTTGGCGGTGCAAACTGCCGCGTCCTCCGAGATTTCAAATCGGTCCATGTTGGGAATGCATCTTGCAGTGGTGCACCGCATGTGAACGCCCACTGTTTGGCTAAGCCACTTAACTTGCCCGTGGCAAAGCCAACACGGTACAGTTTGTAGATAAACATAGCCGACTCAACCTGTCGGAACCAAAGCAAAAGGTTGTCACCTTCTTTGCCGTCGAACTTATTGACTTCCATGTGTATGGGTTTTGGTCTGCGGACCACTTCTTGCGCCATAGTCGCCATGGGAGAAGGCGCAGAAGAAGGAATCTGTGCCTTTACATGCTCGTCTAGAGCTTTATTATTTTCATCAAGCATATGAATACGCTAGTTAACCTCTTCTTCGCCCTGAGCGATGAGGTACTCCACGCCCTTAGGGCCAAGGATAGGAATCAGCTTCTGTAACCCTTCCTGTTGTGCCTGTGACAGGCCAACCGATGACATCTCGTCGATGTCCATTCTCACACAGAGAATTCGTCGCAAACCCAGGTGTGGAAATTACTACAAATGCTATCACTTGAGTAGGCGCGGGGCGCCCTACTGGGGAAGAACTGAGTTCTGTTGAACCTCTAGGAGGTAGAGGTAAACAGGGCCCAGCCCCAAAGATATTTGAACTTTCAAAAACGGAACGAGAATGCAAGCCAGGCTTGCTAGTCGTCGAAGGGAAGATCAAGAGCTTTGATAAGCCATGGATCATTTTGATCGATTTGGGGGCATCGGGCAATTATGTGCGCCGTGCCACCGTGGAAGGGAGTCAGAAGTATGCTGAAGCGTTTGTAGCACGTGAGAGTGACAAAGTCACATGTCCCGTAGCGACGGGTACGCGTGTTACGATACCCCAAGTCCCGATGGACTTAGATGTAAAGTTCTTGGACTTTAACAGCATGGAACGCTGTTTGGTCTTAGACCTGGATGCGAGGTATGACCTCATCCTAGGCATGAAATGGCTACAACGTCGTAAGCCATGGATTGTTTGGAGGTTGAAGACCTTAGGTGCAACGCGCAATGCTCCTGGTGGGGCTCTGGAGAGTCATGAACCAACCTCTGCTAGGAAGCAAAAGCGCTTTTGGCGCTGATATTGGACCGAGTCAGTCAATATGTTGGATCTCGGAATATCCGACTTTGTAGACACTGTAAGTGTCGAGGACAATAGTCCTGGGCGAGGTCCAAGGACTGCCGATGGTGGGGTTGAGAACCCACTAGATGGCACACATACATGTGTCATGAGAATGATGTTACATCATTAAACACCGTGAGTGATGCAAGTGGCTGCAAGCCAAGATGTCAGGACGCAACTCCAGGTGACGTAGGTGACGAGGTACTGACCCTGGAGGGCCGGGTAAAGTCACAAATGGATGTTGTCTTTGAGTACAACGAGGCGCATGCACCTAACGACGAGGAAATGACTCTAGGACAATTCGCGCCTACTGGAACTGCTCATTTCTTGGCGGGACCGCGGACGACACAGTATCTCCACGTAAGTCACTTGTGTTCATGGACACCGGCGCAGGTGATCGGCAGACGGCCGCACGATGGCCTGTCGTGCTGCATAGAAAATATTTTATCGTGTTTTGACTACGAACGTTGCGGCCAAATTGATTGTTGCGACCACGTGATGCCTCAATCGCATCCATTTCCATGGGCTATGAGCCAGACATACGCGGAAGTTGCGACGCTGCGTGCAAGTATGACGACGAGACCATGTACTCTTCACGAAGCGCGAGGTCAACGACCTCTCAAGAGTCTTCGGCTCGACACGTGCAAGGAAATAACACGTCATGCCTTCCTGCATACCACAAACAAAGACATGCACTTGTGAGGCCATCTCGATCGGCTGTGCAGTAATACGCGACAATAGACAACGTTTTTTTTGCACGTAGTCACGCATTGATAGCTTGCCTATTCGAAATATGAAGAAGCCTGCACGCAAGTGTGACTCATCTCTCGGAAAATTTGAACGCCAGTCGTAAGTCGCGCTAGATCTGGTCCAGGTTCGCGATGTGCCTGACGTTGTCGAGGAGCATAAATTCAGTAAGAATATGGTGACAGCGACCGAGCTGTTAACGCTGTTAACTACCCACACGATCCCACGCGCCGTGACGCTCGCGAGTTGGTGATAAACGACGATCTCCCGAGCGACTCCGAGGTCTACCATGAGGCTCGGGAAAGCTTGTATACCATCGACGTCGAGAGCGACTCCGTGAACGGCTACGTGAACAGCCACGATGGTCGTACATTAATCGGTCACGACTGCTAAAACGTCTCCTTTGGTCGGCAGGATACTCTCTTTTGCGACGCAGCGTCGATACTTGGAGCTCTAAGAGGCTTCTATCATAGCGGCCGATCCATGGTCGGATGTGCTAGGGCATTCCCCGCGCACGCACTAAGTCTTTCCATTCTTGTTTAAATGGTTGCGGTGTCTCCACATAGTACGATGCACACCCTTCACGGACATGCACATAACACATGTGGAACCCATCACGTGCAGACGGCATATAAGCCAGCGTAAATCGCCAATATTGTGCACACCACGAGTGTCTTGGCGCATCTCGATCCAAGACGTGAAGGATGTTTCTTCACGTCGGCTCGCGTTTTAGTGTCTGGTGAAGGCACACCAAGATCGTTGCAGTGCGTCTTCAGTGTATGCATGACTCGTCGTCTTGCCCCGCACGTTGCGGTATCGTGTAACAAGCCTCTTCATCGACTCGAGCGATGCAGGCTCGTCGGCTCCTTCAGCTGTTTAAGACCGACGGTTTCAAGTCCTTATCCATTACTCGTAGTGTTCGTTCCCTTCGGATCTCCGCCTGTATGCCTCACCATTGTTCGGTATCTCTACACGTGAGTGCTCGGGGTTCATGCTGCTCAACTGTGTACAACTGAGCAGATTTAAAGACCAAGACGACACACCGTTGGACTACACCTTAAACTTCTCGTGCGACTATTTGTTGAAAGCAAATTATCTGTGTGACGCTTATGTTGAGGTAAGCGCATCTTAAAGAGGCGGGTGATGTAATGGGGCAATTTATTATATCAAGTAGCTATAGGTTTTATTACATAAATACATAAGCCGGTATAGGCAGTATCCGAATAGCAAATACTGCACATTATTAATTATTGGCTATTATTGGGATGCCAGACCCAATAACTAACCAATAGCAAATCGACCCAATTTGGGTGGTTTTCATGATAAGAGAACAACTTCGTACTTGTTACGAATTATAACAAAGCATAAATAAACAAATATAGATTACCTTATATAAGAGCATCGCTTCCTCTAGTATTCTCACAGTGTGAGACGGTGGCAGGCTCTTACCCCCTTACACCTTGTTTGCAAGCAACGACGTCTCCAAGAGACTAGTACCAAAGATACAATAACACTTAAAGGAATAGTAAGCTCAAGCAGTGATGCTTGTAGAGCAGGTTTGAAACTAATTTACATTAATTTTTATCTTCTAGCACTACATATAGAAGCACCTACTCTATACTTTGTGCTAGTCTCTATTTACTGGCTCTGTAGCCTATTAATATGCAAAGATGTATCGTCACTATACCTAACTAATTATAGTGACCACGTAGCTCTGCCAGGATGCGACCCTTGTACTTCAGGTACGGTCACATCAAGCCTACCCTTGTACCCAAGGTACAGCCACACCACATTGGTGTGGCAGGTGTGTATGTAAAATACACACCTTTGTGTAACCCCTTTACAACAAGTAAGGTTCGACATGTAATGATACAAATGAGCAAAGTAGACTAGATTCGAAATTGATTGAGATTTTGTTTAGACTGGCAGTGCTCCTCTCTATGCGTAAGCATACACTTACCAAGCTCACCATAAGTTATCAAAGGAGTGTCAATTAGTGTGTATCAAGATCGCTAGGCACGTACTTTGGGTAGCAGTACCACTTTAGCTACGTGCGCGATTGGGATACAGTTAGACCAACCGTGAAATGTACTCCACTAGTACGCCCGCGCCTATAATTTCGTATACTATATGAGATGGGCTGCGCTGGTGGGATGAAAAGCGGATGGATAAGTTGCAGCAAGGTTACATCTTGTCGCAGCATTTGCATGGAACTGGATGTAAATTGCGCTAGCCAAATTGTTAATGACAACATATTACTTTACTTTCACCTTTTGTGCAACATGTGCATACTTTACTTCATACATAGACTAGGTACACAGCAAGTTCTCATAGATAATAGATAAGTAACTGGTATATCACACGTCGGAAACCTGATGTGACTCACTGATCGGCAAGGAATACATCCAAATTCTCTCACAGATAAATATTAGTACCCAAAGACTACCGGTATACATGCTTTCCTTCTAGTGTCGACAAGCGGCTAGAGAAAGACCAGATTCATACTAGCGGCCAGCTTCACATAGTACAGGCACTTGCAGCCAATAATGGCTGGCACGACCGAGGGTGGCTTTTCGGACGGTCTGTATGAAAAGGATGTAAGTTATTGAAGGTTTCAATAAGCCTAGGTTTTTATTAAATTCGGTGTGTCAAAGTTAAAGCGTGCTGAAGGCTGATCACTACTTTCATTACATCATGAAGTAAGCATACATCACCTTAAGGAATCACTTAAGTGTGGGCTTGAGATAATGATTGCCAGGAGATCGCCATGTGGCAATAGTGTAGCTACGTATTACTTGGATACGAACTAGTAAACCAAGAGGTAGTTGAACAATGTACCGGGGTCATACGAAGGTCTAGTTATACTAACCTTCCACACCATATTGGTGTGGCTGTACTTGTGGTACTTTGGGCTCACATCTTTATGTGTGACCGCATTAAAGTTACGCTGGGTTCACATCGTACGTGGTCAAAGTAATTGGCTAAGTGCAATAAGTAAATATTCATATAGTAGGAAGATTACAGAGCCGGCAGATATAGTGAGTCGCACTAAGTATTTGAGTGCGTGTTATTATATTAATGCTAGAAGATAACCTATAAAATAAACTTGTTATAAACCTGATCTATTTAACATTTGTTGCTATGGCACATTCGTAGAAAATGTTTTAGTATCTGTGGATACTGGTCTCATAGAGACGTGGTTGTTTACAATCACCGAGGCACAAGCTTATAGTGCTAGCCTTGAAATGGTGAAAACATTATGGCAAAAATCTCGTTGAGATTGTACTTAGTGCACAAGCAGCTTTGCTACACCTGACAACACTCGTAGTCAATCCTTCGCCTGGATCTGTGACTACTTTCTGTAAAAACAACATCGTAAAGATGTCCGCGGTTGGCCTATCGCAGGCACAACAAATATAATTGCAAAAGCTGCTCCCTATCTTTGTCCTAAAGAGCGTGTGATTCCTGATCGCCGAAGGCGAAGCAAAAGGTCGATGTGTATTTATAGCTTAAAGCAATCAACAACTATCTTGTAGAGCATACAAAAGCACGAATGTCCTTCACCTGCACCTTCGCCTAGGGAGACTATGGCGCAGGAACCTTTTCGTAGACCGAACTACATCCAAATGTTTGTCGAAGTGCTCGATGGTAAAGAAGTTAAATATCTTATTCGGTATATCCGACAGGTTGAGTCGGCTATTATTATAGCCGACATTACAAACAAACCATACTGTATAGAAGTAATCTCAAAATAGGGAAAGCTCAAGACCGGCAGGCCGGAGAGAAAGGGGACTACAGAGGCGTTGAACGGTATACCTCGGTCTCTCAAGGTATCTCAAGGTGTACCGATCTTTTTTTAAGGTCGATCCTGGTCCCTCATCGGTACACCTCGGCCCTTAAAAGTGGATTTTGATTCCTCATCGGTAGGCCCAGGTCTTTCAATGTGGATCTCGGTCCGTCGTCGGCGGACTCTCAACTCTGGTCCCTAGAGGTCGACCTTGGTTCTTCGTCAGTCAACCTCGGTCCCTCAAAATAAACCTAGGTCCTTCATCGGTAGTCCCTGGACCCTGGTACCTAGGCCGACCCTGGTCCTTCATGGTAGGTCTCAATTTATAGTAGGTCGACCTCGTTTCCAATACGAGCTACCCTAACCAATCAGAATCAAGAAGTTGGTCTCAAGCCAATGAGGTGGAGTGGATTCTCATAACTGCG